TAAATCCCCAATTTGGTATAACATATCAATAAAAATACAAAACAAGAGTGTTTTTTTCAGGGAATGGTATAGAAAGGGGGTAATAATAGTTAATGACATAATAAAAGAAAAAAGAAATAAATTTTTCTACAATCATCAAGAGTTCATACAAAAATTTGGCATCCAAACAACTTTTCTTACATATCAAGGTATCATTAATCCTGTAAAAAAAAACTCATTTTACCTGAAGATATTACTAATTTGAATGTTGACTATCCATACATCCCGATGAATTTGGAAATTTTTCTAAGACATAAAAAAGGAACTAAAGATTTCTACCATGTTCTATGTCAGAATAATACAGTATCTACGGGTAGAAAGAAGTGGGAGCAAATGTTTGACTTTGATAATGATATATGGAAAAAAATCTATACCATTCCCTTTAAAATTAGTAAAAATACCAAACTACAATGGCTCCAATTTAGACTCAATCAGCATATTTTAACCACAAATTCTTATCTTTATAAAATTGGTCTTGTTGACAGCCCTTATTGTTATCACTGTAAAACTGATATTGAGACTATAATTCATGCGATATGGGAATGTCAAGAGGTACAAGCATTTTTAACTGACTTTGAAGCAGTGTTAGATCTATTATTAATTCCATTTGCTTTTAATAAAGAATCCTTCATATTTGGTTCCTTTGATAGGAAAACTATTGTTGACAATTTAGTCCTACTTATTATAAAACTTTACATCTATCAGGCAAGATGTCTGCAAACTGGTCTGTCACTTTCAGCTTTGAAGAATTTAATTAAAGATACATATAACACTCAAAAATACATTGCTACAAGATTATCTCACCAATTCTAAACAGGAATAGAGAAAATGGGAAAGACTACTTCAGACTCTGTAGTGAAATTTGAAATCATTTTTGGATTATTTTCTTTTTTAACTTTGTTAGCTGAATGTATCAAAAATGAAATAAAATAATAAAGCCCCGGTCAGATCCTACCGGCACCATACTCATCCTCTCCCTCCCTCTCCTTCTTCATCTCTCTTACTGCTACTTTGCTCATTTTTTCCCTTTTCTCTAAAAACGGTACACTATAACATAGCACTTACTTAAGTATCAATCTTAGCGTCAGGCTTTCATTTTTTACTCTATTTACATTCCTTTGTACCTAAATGAAAATGGCCATGTGTGAGCGGAATGTTTGATGTGTTATGTTTCATGTTCTTCGAAAAATAAAAAATCATAAAAAAAAAAAATGAAATGCGCAAGTGATCAGATGGGTTCATTGGAGCATTACATACATATGCGAGACTTCAACGGACAAAATTCCACAGTTTAGCTAATACATTAAACGTGTTAATTTCCTAAAACCACTGGAATGAGTAAGCATAAAAATAAAATTATCTTTCCATACTTCTAATTAATAAAACTATTGAAGACTCCTGTCGCATTCACAATGTTTCTGACTTTCATAATTGCAGATTAAAATTCACATGTTGCAGCTCATTTTGAATAGAATGCTGATGAATTTGATCCAATATATGTCTGTATTTGTAAAGAACTAAGGGGTTGGTGAACTTTTGTTTATTCAATGAATGTTTAATAGGTTGTCGGTTTGTGTTGTTTAAATTTCGGATTTGTCATAATTTGACCGAAGATCAATTGAATAATAAAAAAAAAAGTATATTAGTAGTCACTAGAATTGTGATCTTGGCATGTGTGTTCAGACACCTGCATACAGTACATCATTTGTCTAATCAAAAAGAGAAAACAAGAGGCCCAGAGGGCCTGTATCACTCACCTGGATCTTTATGACCAGCAGTACTATATCTGTGCATATGTTCCACAGTAAATGCTTAAAGCAATATGACAAATTACTCCACATGGGTTCTGTCCCTTAGTAAGCAGTCCCCTCATCTGTGCGATGTTGAATTGAGACTTTCTTATGATGTTTCCAGTTAAATATAATTGATAGCTTTCTTTTAAATCAAGGAAAGAAGATGGTCAAACAATATAGCAGAAAAACTCTTAGTTATAACTGGACGGATGACCAAAGACAGCAGAAGCTTACTTGCCCTTTAGATCATTGTTTACAAACACATATATAATATATTTGAGACTTGCACAATTAAATATAAAGACAGGGATAATTAAGGTATATGTAATTATAAACCATAATCCTAACTCCAAAACAATAATAAAACGTTTCATGCATATCATTTGTGATGTCACCATGGTCAGTTAAGCCCCGGTTACTGGAGATGTACTGATAACCGGTTACTGTAGGCCTATAAACACTGCATAGCAAATGGGATCAACTTAGAATTTCTTATCTATTTATGCTGTTATTATGAAGAATCTTAAATCTCTTGCTCTTGCAATTCTCTTTCCGATCATGTTTTAATGCTGTGAATAGAACATAAGTAATTGGCCAACATGTAGTTTTTCACATTACTTAGCTCAAGCCTCTCTGACCTCCAGGGGGCTTGGCCTAATCTATTTTTTGGAACAGTTTGACATCACTGTGAAAAGTCTTTATAATTTATTCCAAATTATGCCAAGAAAATTCCTAGCCAAATATATTCCTTTAATAAGTCATTGGGAGGTTCTACATATTTGTATATAAGCCTTTGTGAAACTTTTACTGGCACATATGATAGCCTTTGATCAATCAGAAGTTGTTAATGATTTTACCAAATTTAACCCCAGTGAATATTTTTATGGGTCAAGCTATTTTTTCACACACTATGTGGGCACTATAAAGGGAACCTTTTCGCCAAATAGTATGATTTTACGCATTTTGGTTAAGCAGAAGTTGTTTAAAGGTTTAGTGCATTAGACTGCTGTGACCTTGAGTATGGGTCAAGGTCATTTCTTGTCTTAAATATTATTGGGCATCATTGAGTACCCAGTTTGGCATAATATCACTATCCTAGATATTTGGTTGGTCAGAAAAAGTTGTTGAAAGGTTTTAGCACATTTGACATCTGTGACCTTGAATCTGTGTCAAAGTGATTTCTTTTTGCAAACTTTCTTGGGCTTGATAAAAGGAACATACTGGCCAAATATAATCATTCTAGGCTTTTCGGTATTTCAGAAGTAGTCGTATAAAGGTTTAAACACATTTGACCCCTGTGACCTTTAAGGTTGGTCAAGGTCATTTCTTTTTGCAAATGTTGTAGGAAAACATAAGAGGAACATAGTAGCCTAATATAATGATTCCAGGCCTTCCAGTATTTGGGGAGAAGTCCTTTAAAGGTTTTAACACATTTGACCTCTGTGACCTTGAATATGGGTCAAGGTCATTTCTTTTTGTAACTTTGTTGGGCTTCATCAAAGGAACCTTCCAGTCAAATATAATGATTCTAAGCCTTCCAGAATTTTGGAAGAAGTCTTTTAAAGGCTTTACCAATTTGACCTATGACCTGGAATATGGGACAAGGTCATTTCCATATGCAAACTTTGTAGGGCTTCATCAAAGGAACCTGTAAGCCAAATATAATTATTCTAGGCCTTCCGGTTTTTTGGAAGGCGTTTAAAGGTTTTAAGACATTTGACCTCTATGACCTTGAATATGGGTCAAGGTCACTTCTTTTCAAAAGCTTTGTCGGGCTTCATCAAAGGAACCTTCCAGTCAAATATGATAACTCTACGCCTTCCAGAATTTTGGAAGAAGTCTTTTAAAGGCTTTACCAATTTGACCTATGACCTGGAATATGGGACAAGGTCATTTCCATATGCAAACTTTGTAGGGCTTCATCAAAGGAACCTGTAAGCCAAATATAATTATTCTAGGCCTTCCGGTTTTTTGGAAGGCGTTTAAAGGTTTTAAGACATTTGACCTCTATGACCTTGAATATGGGTAAAGGTCATTTCTTTTCAAAAGCTTTGTCGGGCTTCATCAAAGGAACCTTCCAGTCAAATATGATAACTCTACGCCTTCCAGAATTTTGGAAGAAGTCTTTTAAAGGCTTTACCAATTTGGCCTGTGACCTGGAATATGGGACAAGGTCATTTCCATATGCAAACTTTGTAGGGCTTCATCAAAGGAACCTGTAAGCCAAATATAATGATTCTAGGCCTTCCGGTTTTTTGGAAGAAGGCGTTTAAAGGTTTTAAGACATTTGACCTCTATGACCTTGAATATGGGTCAAGGTCATTTCTTTTCAAAAGCTTTGTTGGGCTTCATCAAAGGAACATTTCACCCAAATATGATAACTCTACGCCTTTTGGTATTTCAGAAGTTGTTTAAATGAAAAGTTGACGGACGGACGACAGACGCCGCACTATGGCATAAAATCACTTGGCCCTTTGGGCCAGGTGAGCTAAAAAATATAATTGACACTGTAAAAAGTCATTTTTGTACATATGTAGCCCTTCAAATATAACCTACGGAAGTAAGTGTCAACTGAATATGTCACATAAGTAACTAAAAAGCTCACATATCAGATACACAATGGAAGCGTCCTGTTGTATTTCTATAGGGCCGTTTTGGCAGCGTTGAACTTGTGACGACACAGATGTGGCTATCCATATCAGATAGTCGCCGTCGAGTCAATTGTGTGAATTTCAGATAAATCACAATATTTCTGAAACAGACCTAGCTCCGACATTCGGACTTTTCTTGTATAATATTAAGTATCTTGTAGCTAAATAAAGCAAAATACTCAGTTTACACTCAAGTCTACCGAACTCTTCCTCTTCTGTAATTCTCTTCTGGATATTTCACCAGAAAGGAAACATTCTTGACCTTGCAGTAGATCATGGATCTAAATAAGTCTTGACGGTGGGAGGAGATATATACTAACCCATCACACAGGCTCACAGTCACTTAGTACAAAGTCTCCCAAAATATAATGCACATTTGTATTTGCAACATACAAAAGTTTCTCTGCAAAATGCTTTGTTCAGTATAAAACCTTCTGAAATACACATTCAGCAGACATTAATTCAGAGTTTATAATGGAATTTATCTATACTATATAAAGACAACCAGGAAAAGATATTCCGACAAAACATTTATTTTCAATGCACTGGGTTACCGTCAGGTGTTGATAAAGAGAAGAAAAAAAGGGAGTGTTAAGCCAAGAACATAAACAATTGAAGGACTAAATATGTGATGGTTACTATTTCTTTAAACCTTACTTACACTCAAATCGTCGTTCATACAATGTGTATGGCTTTTACAAGTTTAACAATTTTGAAAAGAAACAAGATTCTGTTCTCCATTTTGTATTTTGGATTCTTTTTTTTAACAGCAGTGTCCTATTTTTTTCTTTCTTTCAACTTATTTCTTTTTTCTTTTCCAGCTAGGCCAAAGAGAGGTGGAAAATGATCATGAAAACATAAAAAATCAAGGTGTAAATATTGTTGGTACAAGAGCATGCACAAATCCAGATAGCTGGATCTGAACAGGTACACACACATGGATATTTATAAACTGTCATATTTATGTGTGTAAAACACATATATTTTCACATGTAATATACGAAACATCAAAACATGGGGGATGATTTGTTTTTTCAAAAGCACATTAAAACAAAAATAATTAAAATCATTACACTATTACATTACGTTACAGCACTAGACCTCTAAATGTCTGCAATAGGCTTATGTTCTCAATGTCTCTTATGGAACCTGTTCTTGAAGCAGTTAAACCTCAATTGACCACTTCTTAAAAGATGGAGGAACAGCGGAATAAAGCACAACAGAAGAACATCAATATGTAAGGCCACAAATATTCAGATTTGATGGAGGAATATATTGGCATGGTAACTCCTATGTTAAGCACAAAATTAGGATTTTTTTGACTTCCTGTTTGTAAGCACTACTTAATTAACGTTAAAATTTTACATGAATTTATTTCTACCATCCTGTTACTGAACAGCTTGAAAAATGGAGCACTCAAGGAGCGTGGACTGGTTGTATGTACCTGTGTTACTAGATTACTGCTCGTCAACGCCAACTGATTTATGAACTTCAAATAACATTGGAGTATGTTACTCTTCTACTTCATCAAAGACTTGCTCTTGCCCGCGTAAATGTGTATTGTGGAAGAAAAATAGTAATATAAGAAGCATTCATCACACAGTGATAATGTAACATGTATTAGAAGTCCTAGCCCACTTGTGCAGTTTTCCAATAACATGATTACAATGTTCTGTCCAGTTTTTACATTAGGTCAGCGGGACGTAAGCAAGTGCAGACTGTCTGCAATATGCACATTTATGCCAAAGTGCATACACAACAGTTCAATGCTGATGTATTCCTACTGGGATAGGATTGGGTGAAATAAATACATTGTGTGGGATAAATAACATCCATCACTTGCGCAACACTTTGGGTTTGAAATACAATTGGACATCTGATGTTTTAAAATGTGATGAAAGAACAGAGCGATTAAGTCAAAATATAAATGTCCGAAAGAAATTGTGCATTAGAACCAGTATCTCGTACAGCACAAGAAACACTTTAAACGGTTGTCCAGATTGAGGCATAGAGGCAACAAGTCACATACCAATAAACATACAAATGAACCCGTTCAAATTTTGCAATGCTCTTTTAGTTTTATTTTACGGTGGTTTGATAGGACAGCTGACTAGAAACTGGGTCTGAAGCACTGACCTTACAAAACTGGCAAAAACTCGTGGTGCATACAGATTTGATGCAAATACCATCAATGCCACCAACATCATTTTCTCCTTGAAAGATCATCATATTCTCACAGAAAGTATCCTCCAAATCTGGAATTTCTATGTCTTGAAATGCAGGACAAAGTTTTGATCTGCTAAGAATGAGATAGGTATAGGATTTTTTAAAACATTTATACAATATCAAGCTACTTTTTTCAATTGTAATAACAAATTGAAACACTAACCAGAAATAACATTAGAATTACTTTTCAAAACTGTATGCACCCATATGTGATTATACAACGCTACAGCAATAGTATACATATAAATAGCCAATTTGATATACTTGAGATACATTCAACTAATTAATTATAAATCTGAGAGGTTGATAAGGAAATTACTACAGACAAAAAAATAAATCAATGCTATGGCAGAAATCCAGTGACTGGGTGTTCTGTAAAGTCAATCCTAAAACAGGAACATCTTAAGGTGTTGTTCATAAACCTGTTCACAGGTACTTCACCATTTTAGTTTGTACCATTGTTATGTATGTCACAGATTTTGCACAAGAAACCGCTTACATATTGAAGAGCTTCTGTTTTCCTATATTCGAATTGCTAAGTAGACCGTTTCAACAATAAAATTTTGATAATTATTCTTTCCTAAATCATTTCATTTCTGTCCAAAAACTTGCCAAATTGCTGATTCTTGTTTCATTTGATCATCAAAATATAAAATTACTGCTACCAAGATCTTGTAAACAAAAACTAAACACCAAGAACATCAATCAACCTAGATTACTGCCTTTATGTTGTTTTACGTAAGGAATAACACTTACATACACAAATAGAACAGTGCGAAAGGGGTTGTCATGACAATCCATGTGGTAGCATGGCAACAATGAAAAACGAAATAAGCGCCACACATACAGATCACATATATACTACATCCACTTGCACAGGTACATGGTACACGGTCCAAGAATGATATGGCTGCACATGCACTTTTATGTTGAGAGCCGCCCACTGGTTATGTATTAGCAACACTGATCTCGTGTCTGCTCTATTATATAGTATTTATCAACTAACATAGAAATAGCAGTATTTCATAATAATAATAACATGGTATTAAAACGAGGCAGTTATTCTTTGTTTTGTTTCAAGAAATCTTCCACAAGTCACATGCAAATCAAAAAAGTTGATGAATTTGATGTAAATATTGGCCATCCTTCCTTCATACTATGATGGCCGCATGTGAAATCCTGGCACAGCCTTTCCTCCAGATAACATATATCTAGTCTTTCATTCATACTAATGAATGACTGTCAGTTCACACAGGGATGACCAATCACTCGAGTCTTTGGCCTAAGCCACTCCATCAGTTGGCCGATTCCTCCACGTCTTGCTGATTGTCAGATGTCCACAACTGCAAGGAACACATTTTTAAAATGAATAATTCAGTGATGCTGAAAAAAGTTTCTCTATTCCATCAGGGCCGCAGAGCAGTCGAAACATGTCGACGAATTTGTCGAATAATAAAACTACAACAAGTGTTCCTGGATGTTGAGAACCCTTTATTTTTGACTTAAGTTGACCACATTGTAAGGAACTCTACAGAATACCTGTGGTATCCATTCAGGAACCTAGTCGCAATATGAGACAATGTGTTGGTTCTTCAATATTGTTTTCTCTATTCCTTATAGTATTGGAATGGGTGTATCACTGATTTATATCAGAGCACCTATAAATATAATCTATTACCAAAATTTTAATTCCCAGTTGGTTTAGACTGCAATAAGTTAACAACTTGCAAAAATAGCAAAATTATGTCAACACAATGTAAATCAACAAAATGCAATGACTTCGAATGTACTTGATCTGCTGATCAAGAATGCAAACTCAAATTTAAAATACTTCAGGTTTTTTCCATGAAATTTGGCAACCTTCAATTGTTCCCATTAACTGTTGACATCAAGAACACAAACAAATCTGGTAACAGTCAAGTTAAAATTACATGTCTGCTTGTATAAAATTACATTCAGCATATCTATCGTTAATAATGATTGGTTTGGCTGGTCACTGACCCTTGTAGACCTTGAACATGAGAGACCTCGAGGTGGAGGGCTAGTGAAAAAAGACAGACATCTCAACCACTCTGCCACTGTGGCTAGATTATTATTAATAAGCAGATACTTACTGTGAGATTATCTCGCAATAACTGCATTATCAATGTACTGTCTTTATAGGAATCCTCACTTAATGTGTCCAATTCAGCAATAGCTTCATCAAATGCCTGAAAAAAAATCAACAAATCAACAAATTTTTATGAAATGGAACTTTTTCAACTTCTAGAAATAAAGCAGAAAAGAAGTGGATCAACTTCTGAAACCAGTTTTCAAATCATATTCAAGACATTCAAGACCGATTCCACCATTTCACAAATGTGCTCCTTGACAGGCAATTTGGGAATTTAGGAATATGAGAGGAACTCATACTTCCACATTTCATTACAGCTTCAGGTAATTATGAGGTAACTATCATTACTTTTCTCAAAATGATCAGTTTGAAATAAAACTGGTAAGTGGAAGTAACTGAAAGGATAATCCAAACAAATGGCAAATTTCTTGTTGTTCTGTTGATCATTAAAGAAATGTTCTTAAATTCTAAAATATTGTTGCATCAAAAGATCTTTCCTGTGCCAGTTTAAATAAACAAAAAGATGGAAATGCCAGGTAAAAATCAGACCACCTTAATATATCACATTTTTGTGAAAACAACATAATTTAGAAGCACCATGTTCAATTAAAACCGTAGACACTGTGAGTAAACTGGAAAAAAGCCATTTGTTCCCATCTTAATTGATTTACAAAACATATAGATCTACATACTACATTAAATAGGTATTGAAATCACACAATATCACTTGATGCTAAATAAGGATTAAATCCAATAAGTCACCATTGCTATTTGCAGTTTATTGGTGTCGTGCAAACATGTGATGCAATCAATACCAATCATAAAAAATCTAAAGAGAATTTCTACAGGTTCAATATCATATAAATGGATCTGATGTCAAATTGAGGTAAAAATGCAAAAAAAACACCAAAAAAACCCAGACTTACTGGAAATATCCCTGCAAATCAATGTCATTTGTAGATTTATTTTAACATTTTCTACAACAGTTGCAATATATCTGATCATTCTTACCTTCTTAGCTGTTTTGCATGCCTCCTCTGGGTTACTATCAATTTCATAAAAAAACACTGAGTAATTCAGTGAGAGTCCTAGTCGAATTGGATGTGTTGGCTGCATGTAACCACACGCACTCTCAAAGGCCTTTTGATAGGCCAGTTTTGAATTTGTAACGATGTTTTCTGAAAACATTGTACAAAACATACACATATTAAAGATTTTTGAGTTTTATTTTAAACATATCTGTGACATTTAGTTTGTGATGCAGATAACAAAGTCCGACAGTGACCGAGCTTTTAGGTATCGATTACAATGTAATGTTCCAGATAAATTTACATAAGTATTTGTAATTATGATAAGGTCTTCATCTCATATGGGGAGCAAAACATGTACAACCAGTCAAATGAAATAGTTGGGAAAAAAAAGGAAACTTTGTGTGACAAGCAGTTTTATCATAAAACACAGCCTAACTGACAATTCTAACCAATTGTGGCACAAGAATCAAATTAACTAATGGTAAAGATTTATGATTCAAAATCCAATTTCTGTGAAAGAGTTTTCTTTCCTTACCTGTACAAAACTACTTATGGACCAGTTATTTTAGCAAATATTTTTTTTTTTTTGTTGATATATGTACTAATTCTGACCACTTTTCACTAGTCGCTCACCTTTTGTCGCTACACATCCTTGCTCATGAACCTCTGCTAGGTACCGGTAATAGTCTCCCTCCATTTTCAGGTAGAAAACATAACTTTCTGTCTTTTCGTCATCTTCTTTCTTATCCCTTTTACAGTCCTCTGATAGTGCAACCTTTTTTTCGCCATTTCCCTTTGAAGGTTCAACGTTAGGTATAAGTGTATCGTGGAGCAATTTCTAAGGAAGAGAAACAAAGAACACGGTGAACACATTTTAGTTCTGCACAGCAAAAGACTTCAAATTAGTAGTTTCTCAGTAGCAAAATTTGAAGAATACAGAGGGACAAGAGACTCCAGAGGGACCTTAGCTCCATCATGGTACAATGTTGTTCCTTTTATCAGTCTTGCCCATCCATCTGAAAGCCTAATGTAAAGGCCAACAGGAACCTGCACATTTTGAAAATTAGCAATCCTGATCTTTTCAAGATGCACTTGTGTTTTGCATATCATACTTTCAAAATCAAATATGGTTGTCCATTTTTCATTTTAGTTTTATCTGTCTGTTCCAAAGTCAAACAAAATTTCTGCTATAAGCGTGCGAACAGATTCCGGAACTCACCCTCACCCGACGAGCCCTTAATTTCCTCATATAATAAAAACACATATGCTAATTATATAATTACATTATTTATTCACTGTTGTAACAACAATACATCAAACATAACACAGTATATGGTAAAAGAGTTTATAAACATGGTTTAAAACAGGCCTTCTGCATCTCGACAGTTTGCTGTTGTGTTGCCAAAGCAGCAGAGTGAGAGTTCTCATCTGTAAAATTGAAAATAAAATTTAGAATAGAATTGGACATTTGCAGAGAGATACAGGATTACATTGAACCTTATTTTACACCATCAAAGTATTATACTTATTACAGTAACTTCCTAAGTAATATATCTCTTAAAAACACTTCAGAGATAATAAAGACATAATCGTTAAACTAAAAGATTGAGTTTCTAATTCATGTGCTAAGCAGGCTATAATGAGTAACTACATTGTACCATCCTCTAGGCATTTCTGAATTACTTAGTCTAAATTTACATAATTTTCTGTTCATAAATGATGAATAGTTGTATATACTGATCCTTTCTCATGCTTAACCAAGCACTCTTTCTTCATGATACTGCAGCCATCAGTGAAACTATTTCTAACTAATGCCTTAATACATATGTCACAAAACATGAGCTTTTGCTCTGGGTCATATTTTAGCCATGGCCTGCCAATTTTCCAACTATCTAGAAACTTTCTTGAACTACTGCCCCTGTTAGTAACCTGATCAGGACTATCATTTTCCTTTTCAATAGATGGTTTCTTAAAACCAAATGATGACAATCTGGGTACTTTCCCATCCCTCTCACTAAATGGGAGTTTACGTTTTCCCATTTCATCTAACGATCTATCTCAGTGAAGGGCCAAATCTGATGTGACCAAAATATGTACAAAAATATAAAACAAAATCGGCAACATAGTGTAAAAACAACGAAATTATATCTTGTGTTTCTTGCTATTTTGATTGTCGATCAAAAAGGTTAAGAAGCCCATTTCGGGCCCTTTCAAATACACTAGTTTACTAAGTTATGTCTGCAGAAATCACAAACTCGTGCCCAATTAACGACATTGACACACCTAATGATCAACCTATCGTAAGCCAATTCCCGATAAAACAACATCTTTCCTTCAGCTAACTTACCTTATTGTTCACGGCAGAGGCTATCTCGGACTGAGACAATGGAGACATCATTGGATAATTGACGATTTTCATTTCAGGCATGTTGCTGTTTAGACAGGTAAACGTTTCTGTCAAAACACAAAAGAGTTCTAATAGCTGACCTTGCCCCAGCTGCGCGAGTCAGTCAACCGTGACCGTGTAGTACACAACGATGTCGGAGCAAAATTTACCTGTGTCACTCGTTACAAATAAGTTAAACCCTGGTGATTTTTCTCTATACAGTCATCGGTGACTGGAAATGTCTGTAATCGGCATTTTCGACAATAGAAATTTGAAATCGCCAATCTCATTTCACTTTCGCCAATGGCGCCATTGGCGATCGCCAGCGCGAGCCCTGACCAATTACTCAAATAACTGGTATTTAGTTGAGTATATGTACATAATTGTCAGTGTTACCTTTGAATACATTAAATATTAAAATCTGATTCCTTTCAGTTCTCAAGTAAACCATTAAAAATGTCATGCTGATAGTGAACTCTGTGCTTTCAACACATCTACAATTACTGAAGGTAAATGATCTGAAATGTAATTAAATATATCAATAGAATATGAAAGTTGTTATCATGACTTTATCCAACGTAATCATGTTACTTGTTTACTAATTGATTTGTATGAAAAAAAATAGGAATATCTTTCTGTTGTTACATTAGTGTATTCTTTACATAGATTTGAATAAGCTAGTACAAAAGGATCACTACCAATGTTTAGCATACTGGAGGCAGTTAGGTCAAACTGACAAACAGACAACGGACACATCATGAAGAATGTAATAAAAACAAAATGTGTGATTAAGGTCACATTATGTAAAAATAATTACATTCGAGATATACATGTAGCCCAGCTAATATCTCCAGGGTGAATATGAACACACCCATTTTTTTTTGAGGAATGCATAATCAGCTGAAAGGTGTCAGTTCAATAAATGCAACATCACTGATCACTAATCGATTTTCAGTACTCTAAAACACATACAAATATGAAAGTGTGTGCAAAGTTAGCTTTTAACTGCTTCAATTATTACATTTATTCGTAAATATCATCATTTCACATCAACTCGTCGAAAATAAATCATACAAATATCCCTACACGGCGTGTCGTCACTGGTATACATCCGCGTGTACAACACGTCCGCGATCATCGAATAACTTACCAATACTTCATTGCAAATATCTATCAGCTCCTTGGTAATTCTCCCCTTATATTCCGAAACAATACAACTCTTGTCTGAACCATCTTTTTTCTTTTCGATACTACAGATAACCCTCCAACTGGATCGTCGACAACCCACGACATTTTTGTAGGCGACAGAAAGTAGATTCCTTTCCTCGTTCGAGAGGGGTATCTCTAATTCTACCCTCCTCTTCATCTCCGCCGCCATATCATCATACCGTTCAGACTGTTCTGCAAGCTTCGCTTTTGCAATGATTTCCTCTATTTCCGCACGGTGGACACCTGTTTCTGACGCAGACATTTTCGATATTTCTTCAGTGACCCTTCCTTCTGTTCATAAGCGGAAGCCTGTAATTCTGTTCTTCGGTGACATCATTTTCTCCATCCGCAGTGTAAAAACAGAATTTTCTTTTAAATCAACATATATACAAATTAGTAGGTTCCTAATATGTTATGTGTTATTTAGAAAAGCCAGTTGAAGCTATTTTATTACTGTGAGCGAAATTATTATTTTTTTACTCGAGAACTATATTTTTCCCGATATGCTCGCATACTGGAAGCGAGTTATTCGCCCTTGCTTTCCAGAATTTCGGGGATTCAATCTTCGAAACCAAGGAAGGCGTTTGACGTCACTGTTACCTAGCAACTGCACTGGCGCGATTGATTATTGAGAACAATGCAGAAATCATCTCGTTTGGTTTTTCAATAGTTAGTTATTGGAATATTGTGGGAATTTCACTAGAGTTTTATGACATTTTGTTATGACGAAAAAATAAACACAACTACCCATAACTCCTTGTCTTTCATAACTTCCGTTTAGGGGAACACACGTGTGGACTACATCACAGACGAAATGCCGAAGTCAAAGAGAGATAAAAAGAGTATGAGATATTTTGCAATCTTTCGAAAATCTAATTGACCCTAATTGTTTTCTAGATCTTTTCTTTCCTAATGTCATAAAATCTAACAGAACATTAGTCTCGCCTGTCCATGTAAATGCATTCTATAATATATAGAGATGAGAAGGATAGGGGATAAGAGAGATAGCTGTCTACAAAGTGTATAATGACGGACGAGGTTGGTAACGTTAGATGTACTGAATCCCCAATTACAGAGGATTTGCTCATCTGAATGACATTCTCTCACTGAGCTAAATTGCAAACGAAGTGATGTTGATGTATCTACTTTGACAGTCTAGCGTATGATTCTTTGAATTGTAAACAGATTTGACAACATGTATTTGTTTGCACGCAAATGTAGTTTATTACGCACATGTCACTTATTTTCAGTATGCAATTTTGTGTGGTTTGATTTGAAAAGCACCTTAATTATAGCTGTATGCCCCATTCCTTATATAGGACACTTCTGAGTTTCAGTGCATCCTGTTAAATCCAGGATGTTTCCACCATAGGTCTCATTTGATGCTGTTCACAGTGTTTTTTAGTCATTGGCAAGCTAACATTTACTGGATCCTCCACTTCTTATTCATAACGATACTTCATAAAGTGACATAAAATTATGAATTAATATGAGACAGGCCATACATGAAAAGATTCATCTGCCTGCTTTGATGTATTTCTTTTCTGTCCATTTCTTTTAAGCTAGCAATCATCACATGGTAGGCTTTTAAATTTGCTGTATGTGTTATTGCTTTTTCTTGAGAAGTACTAAATGGATCTTTCTCTCTATATATATATAGCTTTCCCTAAGATATATTTAGATATATATATAAGACAAGGACTAGTATGATTTGCATAAAAATCTTCAGGTCGTGTAACACTATATTGTACTGGCTTGGAAGTTGTTACTTCTTTATAATCTTCAAAGGAGCACATCAGTCTGTGGTTTGTGAATTTTTAGCTCACCTGGTCTTAAGGACTGGTAAGTTTACAGGGCTCTCACATCCCATTTTGGGACTGGGGCCCAAGGCCCTTAGAATTGGGAAAAATAACAGTGTTTTCCTAAGAATTGGGAAAACTTGGGGTCTAAATTGGGGAAAAAAGATACTATTCTGCATTGGGAATCGGCCCCAAATCTGGCAGATCGAGAGCCTTGGCTTATGCCATACTGCAACATCCATCGTCTGTCCTTCAATTTTTCTCCTTAAAATTGACACTAGTCATAAACAGCTTGAAGGATTTCAACCAAATTTGGTCAGAAGCATCTTGAGGGAAGGAAAACACATTTTGTATGAACAGTGTGTCTCAGCCCTGAGGGGCAAGGCCCAAGAAGGGAAAAAATTTGAAATCCTTCTTTTCCTGTTGTAATGATGTGGTCTGAAGCATTCTTAGATGAAGGGGAATATTGGAAATAAAGCAAGATGTTTAAAGTACTACTCCTCATGTAGGAATGATTGGGGAATCAATTTTGAATAAACTAAGGGTCTTGCCCCCAGGGGCGAATGGGGTCGGGCCTAATAGGGGAATAGAATGAATTGTGTAAAATCCTACTCCTGCGAAGGAATGGAAATCTGAAAAATTCTTGAGTGAATGACAATCAGTTTTGTATAAACAGTTAGTCTTGGACTCCTTGGGCAAGAGGGATGGGGCCTAATAGGGGAAATAATGCAAATTTTTCAAAATCTTACACTTTCTGCAGGAATGGTTGGATTTGCCCAAGTTCGTCTGAAGCATTCTTTGGTGAAGGGGAATCAATTTTCATAAATTGGGTCTTGACCATGGAATGGATGGGGCTCAATAGAGGAAACAGTGCAAATTCTATAAAATTTAACTCATTCTGTAGGAATGAATGAATTTTGCCCAAATATGGTCTGATGCATCCTTGAGTAAATTAAAGTCGTTTTTGTATAAATGTTGGGTCTAAGCCTCTTGGATTGGGAGGGGCAGGGCCCATTCTAGGCAAAATAGAGAAAAATCTTTAATGACAGGATTCATTATTGTCCCAATTAGGTTTGAAGCATGAATTGTTTGGTTGACCCTTTAAAGACTGAGGGATAGGGCCAAATGGTGAAATAGATATAGTGTGTAATGTTTGTTGTTGGGAATTTAGAATTCCTCTTCTTTTAGTTTGGATGAAGCAATTTCAGCTAAACACAGCCATGTGAGCAATATAGGCCCTATAGGCCTCTTGTTTTTGAGAAGCATTCAATAGGTCTTTCTCAAATTTTATATGTAGGTTTGCTGTGGTCTCTGGTTGTGCCTGTATTCATGGGACTGATGAGTAAAACAAATTATATACAGGCAGCTACCTTGGATTTGGCAACAAAAGATTGTTATCTCTATTTCTTAAGAAGTACCGCATAGATTGTTCTCCAATTTCCTGTGTAGGTTCCCCTGAGTTCCTAATTGTGCCCTTCTGATTTTGGGACTGAATAGAGAAACAAGGTGGATGACAGGTTATCATCTTGAATTTAGCTGTTACTTAATATTTTGGTTATTTCTTCTAAAGAATTTTCATCTTGATTTCTTCCAGTTTCTTTGACCCAGACAAGAAAGAAAGGATTAGAATTGAAACAGAAATTGATTGAAGAGGTGAGCAAAGTTATGTTGAAATATGTTTATTGTTCCATATGTTAAAAAGTCTATCCATATTTTTACATTTTTAACTTTTACAGATTATATTTTACAAACTTTACACAATTACTCCATGTTACTTCACAACAAACAATGTCTTCAACAGAACTGTAAAGACTGGTAGGTCTATTGTAGAAAGTTGCTCTATAAGCTAATTTTATTGGATTCAATTGTTTTTTAGGTCATCTGAGAGGAAGTCTCAAGTGACCTCTTGTGATCGCCTTTTGTCTGGCAGCGTCTGCCTTGCCTTGCAAACAATTCACATTTATAACGTCTGCTTAATAAGCAAAAGGCCCAGAGTGCTGATATTACCATGCTGGGATGAGGGGAAACTAAGTTTGTATAAAATAATGACCTTGACCCAAGGCCAGAGGGACCAAATGTATTGAAATCTTTAAACCACTTCTCTTCCATAACAAAAAGGTCGAAAGTGCTGATATTGGGTCTTTTTTATACTGGTTAGAAAGGCTACCAAGTTTTTTCATATTGTTGACCTTGAACCACTTTCAAGGTCACATGTATCAAATATGTCAAAATCTCTAAACAACTTCTCAATAATCAAAAGGCCCAGGATTATGATATTGTGCCAGAAGCATGCTGGGATGAAGGGCTATCATGGTAGTTTAAATGAATGACCTTGACCTTCATTCAAGGTCACATGGGTCAAATATACATATGCTAACCTACAACAACAGAGAGTGTTATCAGTGCTCTTAATTGAAAATTAAGCATTCAAACTTGGAAACAATAAATATGCATATATCAATTCTGTCCCAATGCATATATATCAGTTCTGTCCCAATGCATATATATCAGTTCTGTCCCAATGCATATATATCAGTTCTGTCCCAATGCATATATATCAGTTCTGTCCCAATGGTGGGACTGATGGACAGGTTCTAAAACTGTCCAAAAGTCTGAAGACCTCAGGTAACCATTAAGGCCAATGGACCTGTTTTTATTTTTTTTCTCTTCACAGATAAGAAGTTGTGCTGAAAAATATGCCAGAATTTTCACGTTTTCAGTGCATAATATGAGAAATGTACAGCTGAAAGAAGTTCGCAATGATTGGCAAAGTAGCAGGTAAGTCTGACTAGGCATGTATTTAAAGATAATAACAATGTGTTTAACATGTAGCAGAGACAGTAAAACAAATATTTGTGAAAAAAGATCACATTTTACCACCGCAAATTTCAAAACATAGTAGTTATCAATGTTGTGATTGATATAGATTTTAAAAAGCAAAAGCACAATAATTCAGCACCATTTTTAGATCTACTAAGAATAGATTTTAGTAATCTAATGCGAAACCCTTTTGTCTAGCATCATTTTGCATTTGTTGTGCGTCTGTAAACTTGTTTAGATGCTGCGAACCAGTATCTATAGGACAGACTGACAAATCAAACTGACTTTTCCTCCCAAAAAAAAAGCTACAATACCCATCTTCCGCCTATGTGAATAAACATGTTTTAACATTATATGATTTATACTATGAAATTTTTCATGCTGTCATATAAAATTACAATGAGATAAATGCAGGCTGTCAACTGATTCCTATATTCCTGTATTTTGGTTCAAAAACCTACATTTTGAAACACCTCCTATATTTTCCTTTTTTTATGCCCCCGCCATTTATGGCCAGGGGCATATAGCGTTGCCCATGTCCGTCCGTCCGTCGCGTCGCGTTGCGTCCCAAATCAGTATATACCACCTAACAACTTCATTCGGACCTTTCACTATTATTTCACATGGGGGGCGGGGGGGGGGGGGGGGGGGGGGGGGGGGGGGGGGGGGCGGGGGCATTGATGTCTTACAGACATTTTCTACTTTCATTTGAAAAAGATTTCTACATTTTTCAGGAAATTTGTCACCGATAAATGTAGAGATTGTAAATATTTCTATGATATGGCTTTTGTCTTCTTTATTTTACAAGTTAGAGAATTCTTAAGTCTGTATGGGCACCTTGCAAGGCAGTATAACAATATATTGGCCTTTTAGGTGCCCATTCAGATGATGATGATGAGCTATGCAGCAGCTCTCTGCCTGGATTGTGATGCTGTTGAAGTGAATGGTTACTTTAAGGTAGATTTTAACCATTAATTAATACAGAAACAGTAAGTGAAGGTAAGAATTTATAAGTATAATTGCCTTTGAATGAAATGATTTTTGGTTGGAAAACTCCTTTATTTTGCCTCCATACTAGTAAAAAAACTACTATATTCCTCCTATATTTTGAAGAAGACTTGGTTGACAGCCTGTAAATGAATAAAACGAGAAGTGTATAATCAGCCATGACAATGTTTTCTATCTACAAGTATTTCAGACTTTGTACGGTTTATAAGACTACATTTCTTTACCTATACTTCCTGTGGTGTAATAAACTTGAGTTTTCGTGTAATGATTGACAAGGAGAGGCTACTCGAAAAAAAATGAAATAATTTCAATGTTCATCCGCTTCTTGACATTTATGCGAAAATATCTTCATACATAAGTTATTAAATGCTCTCATTTGTTGGCAGTAAACTCAACATCCACCCTTTAATAAAACCGGTTTTTACTCTACCTCTCTGTTTACACTTTTCTTCTCTGTTAATTTTTTACTGTCACATGTTGACCTCAGGTACTGAAATAGACTAACCAAACCAGGGCTGAGTTGGGAAGAGTGCTTGAACACTTATTTTACTTTTGGTTCCCATTCCACAAAGCAACTGACTTGTCCACTCGTGATGCTTGATAACTGAGGGATGTGGGTACTTTTCTACCTCTGATAATAAAATCTCTTAAACAAATTGGTGGTAATCTGAATTCAAGCAGTCAACTGTGCAGCCAACTCTGCTGTGCAAGACAGTGTCAAAATAAATGTTGGTTCCTGAAAGGGTTTGCATGCTTCAATTTTTGCTCACCTTGCCAAGTGAGCTCATGGTATACCAAGGCGTTTGTCGTCCTTTCGTCCATCCCTCAACATTTTCATACAAATCACTGCTTGTCATAAACGACTTACAGGATTTTAACCAAATTTGGTCAGAAGCATCTCTAGGAAAAGTGGGAAAAAAATTGTATAAATGGTTGGTCTCAGCCCCAAGGAGCCTGCAGGGCGGTGCTCAAAAGGGGAAATTTTAAAATTCTACTCCTGTAGGAATGACTAGATTTTGCCCAATTTTGGTTTGAAACATTGTTGTGCAAGGGGGAATCAATTTTGTAGAATTGGTGGGTCTGGTCCATGTAGGATGGGAGAGGCAGGGTCCAATAGGGGAAATAGAGCAAATTCTTTAAAATCATACTTCTCCATTAGGAACGATTAGATATCACCTAAATTTGGTCACAAGTATTTTTAGGTGAAGGGGAACAAAATTTGTGTAAGGATTAGTTCTTACAGGGCTAGAAAAAAATATTTTCAGCTACTCGTCTGTCGGGCAAGTGAAACTTGAAATTCACTTGCCCAAATCCAATATTTATTTACCTGAAGAAAAATGGTAACAAAACAATTTAAGGAACACAAATTTTATTATCAATTTCTATATTAAATGTTTAAATTCAACACTTGCTTTTATTGTTTTACTCATGAGTTTACTTAAATCCAGTAAGCTTATGATATCTGCACTTCCAGCCTGTCGCATATTTAACTTGTTACAATGTTATTTTCACTAAAAGCTGTCAATAGACTGGTGGATCAATCAACACCTGGGCCAATTAATCAGTTCAGTTATCACTTGAAGGACCTAGAACTTCATCAATATCAATGGGATCTTTAGAGCTTCCTGCTACACTAACAACTAGTTCATCTACTCTTTTGATGACACTCTCATTCTCTTGGTGGGACACAACATGTCTAGTTGTTTTAGTAGTGCTGAGCCAGTTATCAATGCATGGATCTGGGTTGAAATCTTTCACTGACTGATCCATGTTTGTTACTGTCATTAAGTCAGTGAGATGATCTTGTGAGAGCTGTGATCTCGGCCTGGATTTTATGTTCTTCATGCTAGAAAACTTCTTTCATATTTGGCAGTGGAAGGTGACAAGGCAAACATGATATTTACAAGAAGAAGCACATTAGTGATTTCACTAGACTGAGATTCAAGGAGTCCAGAATACACTTCTACAGGCCTGTATGACTTCATTTTGGAGACTTTCAATTTCAAAGCCATCAACTCCCCTGGGATCTTAATTCTCTCCTCCTCTGCCAGACAGAATGAGAAATACTCCACTAAGTCCTGAATTTCTGAGTCACCCAAAGTAAACAGGAGATTCCTGTTGTTAGGTCATGCTCTGAAGGCAAACACTGACAAATAACTAAGAGGAGGTTCACCTAAGCATTTTAATCTTTCACCTATATAATCAATACATTTGTTAAAAAATTAAGAAAATGTTGCCTTAAAGTTCATTGGGCTTGTAGTGAGTGAAATTTCTTGTCTACTTGCTGACCCAGTTGTGAAGACATGCCTTTCATCATCAAAGTTTGAGGAGAATTTTAGAGTAAAATTTACCAGAAGATCTCTTCATCACTTTAAATTTTGCCAACTGCACCTCAAGTTTTTCACTCACTTGACTGACAAGAAGATCCTCAGCCTGAAACTGGACACTCACCTCTGAGAGCACCTCAGTCACATCCAGCATGAAGTACAAGAACCTAAGAAACTTATCAGACACAAATTCTTTTCCGACTCCCTTCACCTTTGTGACGTCATCTCCTTTACCCAGCCCTGCATGTTCCATGTGAAGTGAAATACTTGCCAAAGATTTCTCAATAGCCAAAAAAGCCCTGAACCTACTTCCTACCCACCTTGTCTTTTGTAAACCTGCTTGCGATATGGTTGCTTCATCTAAAATGTCTGAGATATCTTTCAAATCGTGCTGGCGCTTGGGGGAGTAATAATATAACTTAAAAATTTGTTGAACAGTGTCTAGAAATTGTGAAATATACTTCTTTGTTTTTGTAACATTCAATACCCCAAGTTCTAAGTTGTGGGTCACACAATAAATAGCTACGAGGGGATGATCAACAAATTCTTTTAGTTTTACTACAACTCCTCCTTTTCTACCTAACATCACAGATCACACACCCCATTTTGGGACTGGGGCCCAGGGCCCTTAGAAATGGGAAAAATAGTGGCGTTTTCCTTAGAATTGGGATAACTTCGGGTCTAAATTCGGAATAAAGATACTATTTTGCACTGGGAATGGGGCCGAATATCGGCCCCAAATCTGGCAGATCAAGAGCCCTGCAGATGCCCCATCAAAGTTACAACAAATCAACTTCTCTTTCAATTCCTCTTCAGTCATTCCAAGAGTATCAAATGCTGTCAAAATACCATGGAAAACACCTTCAGCTGTAGCAGATTTCAGAGACGCTATGTCAGTGAAAGCAGTCTCAGGATTGCCTTTCTCATTAACAAATCTCAAAAATACAGTCTCTTGTTCAGTCACTGAGGAGTCTGTGGAACCATCCGCAAAATCAAACAAAAACCTAGCATTTCTAACTTTCTCTTTCACTACATCTTTCTCTACTTCAGCAATAGCAGACACGAAATCTTTGGCACCTTTATCATTTCTATACTTTGCCCTACATCAACTCCTACCTTTTCTAGTAAGTCTGTCAACCCACAAAATTTTGTGAATGATAAATTTTCTTTGGCCAAATAAAATGATGATTGAACAAACTATGCAATCCGTTTCTTGACGTCTGGTCCAGTTTTTTCGTCAGTTTTGAAAATAATGTCGGTAAGGGGGCAGAACTTTCCTTATCTTTCTCTTTGTCCAATAGGAAATGGTCTTCACAAAATTTCTGTCTGTCAGATTTTTGATGATAATGAAGTATATCCTCCCTAAACTTACCACCAGACCCGGTCCCTATGAACTATTTTGAAGTATTGTCAGCAAGGTTTGGATATTTCCTCCAGTAGCTACAAAACATGACATCGTTTTCAGCATCATGAACAACCCAAGGATAAGATTTCAGTCATGAAGCATGAAATTTCCTAACACGCTTTCCTTCGTACTCAGCTTTGCATTTTTTTTATTGGATTTGTTTCAGAACTACTTGAATCTGATTGAGTTGTGTCTGCCTTGTCACCTTTTGCTGATTTTGGCGAAAAAAAGCTCTTCAAATTAGCCTGTTTTGACATATTTAATTCACTGTTAACGTGAGCGAGAACATCGACTTTTTGACAGTAACTACGTACACAAAACAACCTTGTTTACAACATTTGTGGTGACGTAATAGGTTTTTGCATAGTCTGGATCAGCCCGAGTCTTGACACGTGATGTGAACAAGGATGCTACATCTAGACGGGCGGACGAGTGGATTTCTCTAACCCTGTTCTCAGTTCCCAGGGGCCTTTAGGATTAGGGCCTGGATGGGGAACTTTTACAAGCTCTTTAAAATCTTACTCTTACTCCTCCTATATGAATAAATGGATAACGTCCAAATTTGGTCGGAAGTATTCTTGCTTGGATGTAGGGGAACAAAATTTGTGTAAGGATTGATTCTCAGTTCCCAGGGACCTTAGGGATGGAGCCCAAATGGGAAATTTTGCAAGTTCTTTATAAGCTTACTCTTCCATTAATGATAAATGGATATTGTCCAAATTTGGTCTGAAGTGTTCTTGGATGGAGTGAACTGGGTCCAGTCAGGGAAAGGTAAGTTTTGAAAAAGTCCTTCCATACAATGATATTGTCCAACTTTTGTTTGAAGCAATTTTGATGAAAAGTGAACCTGACCACAAGGGTAAGACCTAATAGGGAAATTATATTAGAAATTGTTTGTTATATCAAATTCTTCATTTTCTTCATGGCTGAATAGCTAAATTAGCAAAGTGATCGATGCAGGCCCCTAGGACCTCTTGTTTTATATTCTGAACACAATCAAGCCAAATATCTTACTTAAAAGAAAAGTATTGCATCAAAAGCAGATTTGATATATTTTAACTGTACAAACCGAAATATTTGTCCATATTTTCCTCCATAGGTATGCATGCTGATTCCAGATCAGTGCAAAAATAATAATTCATTTATCAACCGTAATATTGTGTTAGTAATTTTGTGGAATTTGTGTAAAAGAGGTTCAAATATCAATTCATAAACTACATCACAACACCATTGTATATATTTGATACTTCAGTGTGGTGTTCGAGCATTCAATTTGTACCATCACACTGGTGGCGTTTAACCACGGACTTAGAATAGGACTTGTCATAAATTGCCTTTGGATAAGATATATATTGTTACAATTTAGGTTGGTAAGTCCCAACAGTGAAAAAAAAACAGATGTGAGAAGTCCATGATGGAGGCAATACAACCTGTACTACTTTCAGCTGTTTCTGTTTCGTTATTATATTGTCCATCATATCTTCAAATCAGCTGCAACTCTTTGAGAAGTTTTGAATTGTTTGGAATTCTTACATTTCAGATGTCTGTCCCTGGTTGTACATTATGTATTTTGAGACTAAGTAAAAGATCATTTTGATATGGAATGCACTATTTTGTAAATACTGGCTAACAGACAGCATTTGCTATGATTTGTTTTACCCAGTATTTCTTTTAAATTTCTTGCATTGAGAATTACTGGATATATAATGATCAAGTTTCTGTGTGTTACACATTTTCCTTTGATCCCAAGATGTGTGTATTTGATTTTGAGACCTCTTTTGAAGAAAAGAAAAATTGCACAATTGTTGCAAATATCTGTTAATGATCTATTGTTTAGCTCACCTGGCATTGGCATAACACATCATCTGTCTCTGAACTTGTTCATCTTGAACATACCCTAGTCACTGTGATTTTTTGTGATAGCTTAAATCAACCAATGTTTCAACATTTTAATTACTTTTATATTTTCATTTAGACCTACCTACCTTCCTGAGCAAGCAAGAGCATCATAGGTTTAAGCTCAAGGCCTATTTCTGAAATTTTAGTCTCACACAAATTTTGTCATAAATGCAAGTTTACAGTGTCATCTGTCATGATGATACATGTGATATATAGAAAATACCTTTTCCTGGTAATTTCCACTTGGAGGATGGACTATTTTTACACTTCACAAATTTATATTCTAATAATTACTTGATTTACGCCTTTATTTCACTACACCATGCAAAACATCTATAAGAGCTCCCAGTACAATAACTTTATTTTCGACTTCTTCTGAAAAACCCTAAAAACCAATTTCAGTGAAACAATTGAGAAACCTTCCATGGGAAAGTGTAAACTAGAACTATAACGATAATGTCCCATTCACCAGGGGCCAAAAAGGGTCAGATTGACCCAAATTTCAAAAATCTTCTTCTCAATACCCAGAATATAGTAGAATCAAATACTCTTCATGGATTAAGTGTCTTTAAGTAAAACTCTTCTGTCCCTGTACAAATATAATTTCTCCCTTTCTCTTCTCTAAACTTAAATTTATGAAAATCTATAATTATGATACAATGCCTTTTACCATCATTTGGTCAGTAGTGAGTTCTCTTTTACTTGACATGCTTTATTTTCAGGTTTTTCTTTGGCAAAAACAAAGTTATGTCCCTTGCCCTGGGTAGGACCCCGGAAGATGAATGTAAAGATAACTTACACAAGCTTAGCAGTCAGCTACATGGACAGACAGGCTTACTCTTTACAAACAAGCCCAAAGATGAAGTCTTAGAGTAAGTCTTGGTTTATTCGTTTGGGACAATTTTTTTTTTCAAGTTTTAAATTTGGAGTCACATTAAAACATACAAAACAAATTAATTCACAGTATCTACCATTTTGTGATTTTACACATTTATAGTGATTCACATGTAAACATACCACACACATTTGATACATACATACACACATAAATATATGTATACACACAATAAACACATTCAGTATAGTAAATTATGCAAAAATATACATCATTTACATACTTGTATATCACAGAATCTAATATGTAGAGAAATGATAGTGAAGACAAAATAATAGAAAAATACTAGACATTGCTACCCTAGAGGAAAGGGGAGACGACTAGGGTAACGAGAAGAAGAGGATTGAAGATGCTGCTTTACCTGAGGAATGTCTAGGACAACTAGGTGAAAATGCTTAGATATCAAGTTAAATAGGTTTTTCCATCTACTCCACGAATTTCTAAATTTTTATTTCAAAAATTCAATTTTACTATTTATTATATACTTGTGTAAGTTTGGTTTTTTGTCACTTCATCATCAAAGTGGCACAAAATTACTTATTTTGATGTTGGCTTCCATAACAAAGTTTATAAGAAACCATGTTTAGCTCCATTTATTTTAGAAGTTATGACCTGAATTTGAGGTGAAAACTTGAATTTTTGGCAGATTTTTAGAAAAACTGTTTCAAAAGTAATCAAAGTGACTTTAAACTTAACTAGTTAAAGACCATTTATTTGACTTTTTTTAATAAGGGGTGCGGGGCTCTAAATACTGTACAAGCGCCAAACATAGGTTATAGCACCTTCTCAGTAAACTGTGAACATGTAAAGGAATCGTCAGTGTCAGATGTCTAGTTTGTATTTCTTTGAATGCTGAGAAACGGACAAGTCTTTGCTGACATTGTTGTGTCCTTTGGGCACTTTAATCTATTTGTTCTAGATGATTCCTCTCTTGTATGTTGTTCAGTGAGGTAGCCACTAGCTGCAACGAGGGGATCACTCCCCAAGATGACCCTGGCTGTTCTTGGATAAGTTGGGCGGGGTTCAAAAAAAGGTTCCAGGTTTAATCTGTTTCAGTGTTGCTGTTCTTCATCAACTAGCCCTTGGAATGAAAAATGACAACTCCTACTACATGGCTGTCAACATGCTGAAATCATGTCAATATTATGTTGTCACATTTAAGCATAAATCCAAGGGTAAATTGTACCTACCTGTCAGTGTTATTTAACCAATGTATTCATGTTGTATGCTGTTTTATTGGTTGTTGTTACCTTTCCTACATTTAGTACCAACTCTTCATTTCTCTCTAATTCCACAGTTATTTTGACAATTACCGACAAGCAGACTACGCTAGATCAGGAAATGTTGCGACACAGACTGTGTTCCTAGAACAGGGACCAATGCCAGAGTTTTCCCACTCTATGGAGCCTCAGTTACGGCAGCTGGGTCTGCCAACAAGTCTTCAGAGAGGTACCGTATTTATCAGTCAATTATGCCTGGTATTACTGTACAGTTTGTTAATTTTCAAGGGTTTGAATTGTTCACTGTAATAGAGTATAGAATCATATTGTAAAAAATTAATAACTTTAGAACAAAAATTAGGGGTAAAACCATTGATCGTTTGAAGAATTTGGGTAAAAAATTATGTGGTTTGCATTTGATACTGCAAAACTATAGTTTGTTTGTAAAATTTTGGTTGGAAAGAAATACATATATCTGCATTTGACGTTTGGTGAGACCATATTTCATTTGTAAAATTTCGATGAAAAAAATGTTGTTTGCATTTTAAGTTTGATAAAAGCATTGTTCGTTTGAAAAATTCTGTTGGAAAAATACAATATTTGCATGTGACTTTTGTTAAAAATGCAAAAATGAAAACCTCTAGTATGCCCATCTTGTCAACTGGTTTGTAAAATTCCAACTAAATCTATTCCATTGTCCTGTTAAGAAACCCAGCACTTGCCTTGGAGTCAGTTGTAATGAGCTGACTTCTGTTTGTAATACAGGACATATGTAGGGTAGTAAAGCCTTCGTACTGAACTTGACTTGATGGACTATGTAATCGGACTCAATAAAAATCAAGATTAAATGATAACTTGGACGGTGGAAACACACTTTCCCAAATGTGAATTTTACTTCTCTGGTCTCTTGTTTATTTAGAGAGGTATCATTATTTTATATCCAGAAATGTCTTAATTTCCAAGTAATTCATCGATATTTTGTGTTCCAATATTAAGACATGACAAAAAAACTTGTCATCAAATTTTACAAAAATACACATTTGAGGAATTCTGAACTTTAATGCGACCCATTACACAGTGTGATTTTCACAAAAATATATCGTCAAGAAATAAAATTTAGTATTGCAGTCTGTTCTGTTTTATATCAGTTGTACTGTAGCTTGGCTGTTTTTTGACAGGTACTGTCACACTTCTGCGTGAACACAAAGTCTGTGATAAAGACGATGTATTGACACCAGAACAAGCTAGAATATTGGTAAGTTCACCAGATTAGTTCAATTCTCAATAAGTTAAAAAAATTCACTACATTTGTCACACAATCCTGATAGTGTTCCTTTCATCCCTTCACACTTGTGATATTCTTGTGATCAATTTAGCTTGTGTATGTGCTCTTTTAGTACGAGACAGCTTTCTCAGTGTTTTTTAGCTGACTGTTGAAAAGTAAAGCTCATTTTAGAAATACAGTAAGACTCGTTTGTGTCGAACACGCTTGAATCAAAGACATCGGATAAGTTGAACGATTTTTCTGTTAAAATTTTTTCTCTTCTTTATCTTTTTAAATGAAACCTGGATAATTGGAACACTGTTGAGTCGAATAAAATTTTGTAGTCCATCCCTTAATAATACTAATAATAATATACAACATTTATATAGTGCCCTATATAATTTCACAAATTACTCTAAAGCACTTTACAGTGCATGTAAAATTTAGTCATGGTATCAATAATACATTATACATCTACATATATGTATGATATGCTGATCATTGTGTCCACATGATCACCAGAAAAACACCACATGTATGTACCTGTAGCAAAAATTACTAGTCTAAGAAAAAGCACACCTGAACAGATGGGTCTTAATACCCTTTTTGAAAGTGGCGAGTGTTGTTGATTTCCTGGTTTGTGATGTTTGGTTATTCCACATTGTGGCAGCAACCTTTCCAAAACATCGGTCACCATAAGTCACAGTACGCGACTCAGGCACACATAACAGGGACTCAGCCTCTAATCGTAATGAACGTGAAGGCTGGTGGGGAGTGACGATTTCCAGGAGCTGTTCCATCGAGTGCTTTGTAGGTGTGAATCAGAATCTTGTACTGTGATCTATGATGCACAGGTAACCAATGTAGGGAATGTAGCATGGGTGTAATGTGCTCACGTTTTCTAGTACTGGAAAACAGACGCGCAGCAGTGTTCTGGACTTTCTGCAGACGCCTAGTTGCCGAGTCAGAGATTCCATATAAAAGGGCGTTCCCATAGTCCAGGTTAGAAGTCACAAGTTAATGTAACAGTGTCTTGTATGCATCCATAGTGATGAACTGCCGAATACGTCCAATATTCCGAAGTTGGTAGTTACAGCTTTTTGCAATAGCATTCACCTGCTTTTCCGTGGTCATTGAACTGTCATAGTGTACGCCCATGTTTTTAACAACAGGAGCTGCCTTAATGGTTTTTGTACCAACTCTTAAGCTGGATATCATGTGTGTGTTGATGCTTTGGTGCAATAACAATGAGTTTCATCTTATCCTGGTTAAGCTTAAGCGTATTGGTGTTTATCCAGGCACTGATGTCTACCAGGCAGGCCTCCATGTTATGAGTGATGGTATCCCAGGTATGTTGGGGTCTGATAACCATATAGATCTTGTGTCGTCTACATAACAATGGTAAAGCAGGTTATGGTGACGACTGATCTCACCAATTGGTTTCAAGTATAGACAGTACTTGCAACATCCAAGCACTGACCCTTGTGGAACACCCAATCCAAAGATTTTATCATCAGATGTGGCTGATCCTATGGCCACACACTGTCATCTGTCACTCAGATAGGACTGGATCCAGGGTAAAGCATCCACAGTGACTCCAAAAGAGTAGGCCCAGCATGACAAGGACTGCTCTGCACTTGTTATCTAAGGCTGCAACAATGTCGTTGTGTACGCGAAGGATTGCTGTTTCACTGGAGTGTCATGTGAGGTAGGCTGACTGCAGGTTGTTGTGCAGACTGTTTGCCTGCAGATGCAGCTCTAAACGCTTGGAAACAATCTCCTCTAGTATCTTAGATAAGAATGGAAGATTTGATACGGAACGGTGGTTATTTAATTCCTCCTTGTTCAGCCTAGACCTCTTAATTAATGGTTTGACATTAGCCTTCTTGTTCCACAATGGTACCTTTGACTCGGCCAATGATTTGTTTATTATCGACGTAATCAACGGAAGCAATGCTTCAAGACATTGCTTCAGTAGACATGTGGGAAGCGGATCCAGCTCACAGGACTTAGATGGCGAGTTGGTAATAATCTTGCGCACCTCGTCCTCAGTTGTTGGTGTGAGCTGTGTCAATGCTTCGCCATCAGATGGTATATCAGCTGTCATTACAAGGTTATCACTGTTTACTAGACTGTTCACAGTACCAGTGTTCGTTCTGATAGTCATGATTTTCAAGAAATAATTACTGAACTTGTTAGATAAGATATTTTCAGATGAACAGTTTGGTAGGATTGTATCGCCATTCTGGCCCATAAGGTTTTTGGTGAGCCTGAAAAGTTGCTTATGGTCGGTACCACATTCTGCTATCTTATCTGGATAGTATTTCTTCTTTGCTTGAACAAGCAGCAACCTGACTAACCGACATTGATCCTTGTAGATCTGTTGGTGGATTCAGTTTCGTTCTGCGCCATTGTCTGTCTGCTTTTCCTCGCTTCTGTTTTGCCTTGCGCAATTCCTCTGTATACCAGGGAGCATTTGGTCTTTCAGTAATCACCTTGGTCTGCAGCGGTGCTAGTTTGTCTGTCAGGTCATTTATACCAAAATTGAATGCTTCGACAAGATCGTCTACCCCACCAGCAGTTGACTGTAGTGTGTGAGAGGATTCAATGTCTCTAATGAAATCTGGTACAGAAATTTCACGATATCTTCAGAAACTGACCTCCTTTCTAATACGACCTGGTTTACCACAACTGAGTGTGATCACCAGATGGGTTCCCCTAAGGCACAGGTCTAAGACAGATGGTTCTCCATAAATGATCAAGCTATTTTCTCTTGTGATGACCACATCGAGTGTATGGCCATGGACATGTGTAGCTTTAGTCACATGTTGCACTAAACCACGAGCGTCTTGTAGCTCAGAGAACTGATGAGAATCAGCGTTCATTGGGTCGTCTAGATGGAATTGAGATCACCTGTTATAATGATCTATTGTGGTAATACAACCTAATGGTCCTGTCCCCTCTTGTATAAAACATCTCAACTTGAGATTTCCTCAAGTCGAGATTTTCCTCAGCTGATATCTCCTCAAAAACGGCTTGTATAAAATTTTCTCAAGGAACAGGAGGAAGTCATTGGCTAGGATGTCCTGAAATTCCTTGAGGAATTTTCATATAAGATATTTTCAAGGAGATATCAGCTGAGGAAAATCTCGACTTGAGGAAATGTCAAGTTGAGATGTTTTATACAAGTGGGGCCTGATTGTTTTACCACTCTTCCAAAAACACAGCATTTCTGAAACGTTTCGTTTAGATGGAGGGAGCCTGGATATTATACACAATCTGATTTGTACATCACCAGCACGAATTTGAGCAACTGAGGTGCTCAAAGTGGGTGAAGACATCATCATGACTAGAAGCAAGTTGTCTAACATTCAGATTTTTCTTAATTAGCGCCCCCACACCACCCCCACGTTTCTCCTGGCGGGAATTTTGTATGTCATATCCTGGTGGAACAAGCTCCGCTAACACCTGGCTATCAATGTTTGTTCCAGGTCTCCATTAATGCCAAATATCAATGTCCTGAGAAATCACTGATAGAGAGTGCCTGATTCTTTACTGCGCGACAGTTCAGGGACATTAGATTCAGTGGAACAACCGATTTTGAATGGGTGACCGTCATTGGCCTAATGATGCCATGCAGGTTCGTGTGCAATACAGGTGGTTTTGTATTGCACACTGATGTATCATTTCTAGACTGTACCAGTGTTTCAATGGCTGATACATAAGCTGGTGCAGCATGTCCAAGCGAAAGTGTCTGTGAGGCAGACAGGCCAATTGTGGTGATCAGCTGGATGAGATTATCGGCATTTGAAACCATTGTGGTCTGCGGCCTTGGTTTCGTCAGACGTAAAGCGGTGGCCTGTAACACACGATATTTGTCTGACAGCCCCTCTGCCTGCCTTAGTCCCTCGCCTTGTGCGACGTATTTTGGGCCAATTAATCCTCTGCAGAGCCTTCAAACAATCTTGATCAATAGCAGGACTCACTGGTCGAATTACCAGGAGAACAGATCTGCTCTATCTAAACATGCTGCACTGTGGTATCCAATTGCATAGATCTTAAACTCTTTCAGGTATTTACACCCACCAATAACTTTCTCATTTCTAATAGAATTATTAAAACAAACTAAAATACTTCAAAAACAATAAAATATAATCTTGTAATACCCGGTAATTATGATGAGCAAGGTTTACATGTCCAAAATATGCAATCTCAGTATTGGACAATTCACCCAGTTCAAAAATTTAGAAGATACTGAAAAATTTCAATAATATTTGTTGTGGATTAATAGTAATGATGTAGAACATTCAAGCGTCACCCTATCTTGGGTGTAAATTTTCTGGCTTCGTTCCAAATGACTGAGTGTGCTCGGTCAGCTGTATCTGTGTTGATGTACCCTTTTGTAATTTCGATCGAACATTAATACCTGCGTCTAGACAGGAGCACAGGGGAAAGTTAGAATTTATACAGAATTAGGCAATTAAACTTAAAATACACTGTTGCAGATTGATAAACAATACTAGTTTGTCATTGACACATCTGTTCATGATTTTAAATACATTTACTAGATATACATGTACTAAAACAAAGTGATTTTATTTTATTTTTTGGTTTAACTCTTTTGGTGCTGTGAGTGTAAATTTTTAGTTATACAACAGTGGTGTTGCCACTGCCTTCACGTTTTTGTAATCCACCTCAGTGCTATCGATGTTATATCAATGTAGAATGTTCATGAGTATGTATTTATTGATTTTTATTTTCTTTAGTTATTGAATTCACTAAGTAATGTGTAAATAGCCGGGTCAATCTTCAATGCAAAATGTCTCCATTCATGGATAAGGTGAACCAATCTGATAAGTCAGATATTTCATTTGGTCCAGTCAACTTTGATTTATCTGTGTTTTGCTGTAGTGAAACATATTTTCAGTAAAGTCTGTGTAAAATAGAAAAATTTTCAGCACTGATTTACTGTTGATATAGCTGTAATATGATCCTAAGTCTGAGGTATAGACCGAGTACATCAAACAGTGGGAGAATGTATTTATCTACTATAATTAGATAAGGGAGATAATCCTTACTATGTTCCATTCATTTATTACCTCCCCTGTACATCACTCTTACTCATTGAAGATAATTTTGTTCACAAATAGAAGTGTGTGTTTGTCACAGTGCTATAAGTGCATTAACAGAATGAAGCCTCAAATGACTCCTCATTTTCTTATCTAATACAGATAACAATAAAATTCAAGTGATTACAAGTAAGTTGGCTTCATAGTCTGGCACCTATTTACCATGAAGTATCAAAGGAATTTTAATCAGAGTCCTCTCTGAAGTTTGGATATTCACAAATCTTACTCCAAGAATTGAGAATTCTTTGTTACGCTCTTCTTTATTACCTCACATCGTTGGATAAGGCAGAAAATTCAAACACTCGGTAGCATGTGAGATTTACCTGCTCTAACTACATGCAGGAACACAAGTCCTTTATGATTATTACAAAGTCCTTTGGTATTGTAAGTACCCTAGTGGTGAAACCTAGGGAAGGGGACCACAGTATTCCCCTCGTTCTATCTGTCCATCCCCTGTACCTGTGAAAGTTCGTCAGTGCTTCAGCAGCTTTATTCCTTTAATCACACAATTATTAAGCAGCAATTTACCTTTGAAATGTTCAAGTTTTTAAGGTGGTTGGGACAAGGTCAAGGTTACTATTTTTAAAAAATTCATATTTTGAATATTTATTTATATGTGCTTCCACAATACTTCATATGCATGTTTTCTTTGATTTGTTTTTCTAGAAATTATTTGGTCACATGATGGCAGAGTTTCACATCACTTTAGAAGGGATGTGGGAAAAAGACAAGTGGAAAGTGTTAGCAGACCGACCTGTACCAGTAATACCCCCTAAAGTCACTGTCAGACGTAAGTACTCCGGTTACCTCCTCGCTTTATATGCAACATCAGAGATATTTAAAATTCAAAAACAAGTAAACTAATCAATATGAATTGAGTTTGTGACTTGTACATATTTCTGGGTCACTTGATCGGCATTTGTTAACATTTTCACATCATTGACATCTTGGAAACTGCTACAGTGATTTCTATAAGATTGGGCAGAAATGTTCCAATGTCAACGAGAAACTAAAATTGTAAATTGTATTATTACAATCAACCCCAACCGTGGATTAAGATACCATTGAGACAGAATAGAAAACTGGAAACTGTCCAGCTTGGTCCACAATGTTGGATGATGAGAATTCTTCATTTCGCATTATATGTTTACCTGATAGAGAGGACCTCTGTTAAATACCATAAGGAATCTATTCCAGAAGATAACACTATATTAAACGATTAAAGTTTGAGTTCTCCTATGTTTTCCAAGGATGTGATAAAATAGAAAAAAGAAAAGAAAAAAAAATTAAAGTGATAACAAAGAAAATTGTACTCCATTTCATGGTTTCAGTGAAAAATTAGGATGGTAAAACTATGAAAACTTCATCCCTAGAATACAATTTTTACAGGATTTGTTCATTGGTTCTTTTTCATTTGTGTCAATACTGACAAATACAACATAGAATTTATAATCCTCACTAGGTCAGGGGTAGAAATAAGAAAATTACTTTGGGCCACCTCTTCAGAAGATTTACTGGCCCTTCTGTCATTGCAGTGGCCCTGGGTTTTCTGCGAAATAGGGGGTCCCGGGCTGTCTCTCCTCTTGTAACCTAGAAGCTCTCTGGTGCATTCTAGACAGTTTTCAGCTTGAATAACCAGCTTTTGAAATTGATAATTTTGATGTATATATATATTTTTTTCAGAAAAAATTGAGGAAATTTTATATGATTACATAGATAGGACAATGAAACGATGAAAAAGTAATTTTAAAATTATTCAGATGAAGGTAAAACATATTTCATGTACTATGTTTGTATATTTTCAGCCAAGAAAAAGACTGATGATGAGGATGATGAAGCAGAGATGGAAGCTTTAGTGGGCGACGATCTGATTGATAGTGATGATGAAGAGACATAGAACTTTTACTGTTTGTGTATTAAAACTGTCAATTCTGCTTCTGTCTATTGTCCCAGGAATTATATCAACCATGGCTGGTAAAGACAACAAATATCATTCCTTTCTGTCTGTTGTCTCAGGAATTATATCAGCCATGGCTGGTAAAGACAACAAATATCATTCCTTTCTGTCTGTTGTCTCAGGAATTATATCAGCCATGGCTGGTAAAGACAACAAATATCATTCCTTTCTGTCTGTTGTCTCAGGAATGATCCTAACAAGGGCTGGTAAAGACAACAAATATCATTCCTTTCTGACTGTTGTCTCAGAAATTATTCTAACAAGGGCTAGTAAAGGCAAAAAATAGCATTCCCGTATACCTGCCCAATAATATGACATTAGCTTCCCATCAATGTTCCTTGGCAGAATTTAATATCTCATGGAAAAAGCACCTGTTTAAATGTTAGATCTTAGTACCAAAATCATTTCTACAAAATCACCATAATCAAACCCATTAAAATCTTCATTGGCAAGTCTAAGGAAGCCAAAACATAAAAGTACAGGAAGCAGACAACTGTTCTCTCTAGCTACCCATGAGATGTGGCCAGTCTTGTCAAGGCATTGCAAGCCTTTAGAACCAGTGTTGATTCATATGGCTTTATAGGTTGGTGTTAAAGGCTTGCATGTCAATGGGAGAATAAGCAACGGCTCTTTCACATTTACCAACCGGGAAACATTCAAGGACTCGGTGAATTTGTCAGTAGTGATTTTCTTAAGAGTTGTCCAAAGATGGGGATGTTCAATTGGTCATCCGATAGCCACTTAAGGGACTGAAGTAAACAGGAGATTCTGTTTGTAAAAAGCCTGTTTACGAAGTCACCATACTTACCTACATGAACCTACTCTCTTTCTCCACAGTTCGAGGATGTCGAGTGCTCTAAATTTTCAAACGTTTTGCAGGTGGGTGGGTATTCTGATTTCGTAAACAAGTTTTAAACCCCCACCCCACATAAAATGTCCACTACCCAGCAAACACTTGATGGATCACTCATACATGTCGTAAGTCAAATCCGAAATTCAAAACTCCCCACCGATACATGTATTTAAAACATTATTGTTCTTATGCATATAACTGCTGTATATATATATCGCGAAACATATTCTCCAGGCTGGTTAAGCATAAATGAAATAAAAGTTGTTATACAACTCGACCATAAAAGAAGCTATCCTGGACGTTTCTGTGAAGTCCTGTCACCTTCATCAGACGATTGACTTGTGTGAGTCATTTCAATTTTAATGTATGCAGTGATCAAGAACTATCGAATCTTTCCAATTTTACCGTACACTCTTGTGGAAATGGCGATAAGATTCTAGCAAAAAAAACACATTGATGATCCTCCACTTGTACACTGATCTACATCAAATGGTAGCATTATTCACTTCACAATGGACTTTAGTCTGATGAAATACACACAATACATTTCCTATGAGACTTGTGATGTTACGCACACTTCCATCACATCATGAGAATCTCGACAGATTTTAATGTTTTTATGCCCCATGGTATCATGACTCAAGTTTCTACACCTTTTCATGTTAAGATAGTCATCAGTCAAGGTTAAGGAATCAAAGCACATATTCAACAATGTCTACCAATTTATAACTCAATATTTATATGCTTGGGAGTGGGGACATTCATATCTGACGGCTTTCTTCAAGTTGTTACCTTTGTCACTTTTAGTTTTTTCTCATGTTAGCTTACTCTGATGGGAGCTTTACTTGTCTCAGAAAAGAAATGTTGAAGGATTTTTATTTCCAAATACACCGTTTCCCTTTTTAGGTCATCTGACCTGAAGGGCCCATAGCATGCTGGCATGGAGCCCTACAAAGTTTGTTCAAATTAATGACCTTGACCCACTTTCAAGGTCACAGGGATCAAACATGTTAAAATATACAAAAGTGCTGATATTGGGCCTGTAGGATGCCTGGAGGAAAGACTACCAATTTTGTTCAAATGAATGACCTCGACCCACTTTCAAGGTCACAGGGGTCAAATATGTTGAAATTTTTAAACAACTTCTCAAAAACCAAAAGGCTCAGATTGCTGATATTGGGTCTAGCATGCTGGGATGAAGGGCTACCAAGTTTGTTCAAGTGAATTACCTTGACCCACTTTCAAGGTCACAGGGGTCAAATATGTTAAAATATACAAACGACTTCTCAATAAGCAAAAGTCCAAGAGTGCTGATATTGGGCCTGTAGGATGCTTGGAGGAAGGGCTACCAAGTTTGTTCAAATGAATGACCTCGACCCACTTTCAAGGTCACAGGGGTCAAATTTGTTGTAATTTTTAAACATCATCTCAACAACCAAAAGGCTCAGAATGCTGATATTGGGTCTGTAGGATGCTGGGATGAAGGGCTACCAAGTTTGTTCAAATGAATGACCTCGACCCACTTTCTTGGTCACAGGGGTCAAATATGTTAAAATATACAAACAATTTCTCTTCAATAAGCAAAAGTCCAAGAGTGCTGATAATGGACCTGTAGGATGCTGGGATGACATGCTACCAAATTTGTTCAAATGAATGACCTTGACCCACTTTCAAGGTCACAGGGGTTGAATATGTTAAAATATGCAAATGACTTCTCAATAACCAAAATTATTAGAGTGCTGATATTGGGCCTGTAGGATGTTTTGAGGAAGTGTTACCAAATGCGTTCAAGTAAATGACCTTGACCCACTTTCAAGATCACAGGGTTCAAATATGTTAAAATCTGTAAACGACTTCTTCTCAGTAACCAAAAGGCTCAGAATGCTGTTATTGGGCCTGTAGGATGCTGGAAGGAAGGGCTACCAAGTTTATTCAAATGAATGAAGCCCACTGTTTTAACAGTAGACTCACTGTTGTTAGAGTTTGGCTTGCTTTTTGTCAGATGACCGTTAAGGCCCATGGGCCTCTTGTTAAGTTTTGAACGCTGTATGTCGGTTTTCTTTCGCCCTTGTACCATTATACATGAATTCGCCTTGGGTTTATTTCGCCCTTTGATGATTGTATAAAAGAGTTATATAAGCGTAATAACTAATTACACAGTCGTAAACTCATGTCGATAACCTTGATCACTTCCGGAGCATGTTGATAACCTTGATCACTTCCAAATTATGTTGATGATCTTGATTACTTCCGGATCATGTCGATAACCTTTGGTCACTCCCGGAGCATGTCGTATGGTCGTTGTTTTCAATAGAATGTCTTCTCTACTGTCTGTTTTAGCCAAGAAACACATTTTAACAAATTGTTTTGAAACTAACCATTTATTGACCATTGTTTTAACCTCTGACTCGCTGTATGAAATTGTTACATCCTACAGTTGATTGAAGTAACGGACTGCCGGCGGTCTGTTATCTTTTCAGGGGGAATCAATGCAAACATTTCCTTCGGTAAGATCAGTTCATCAATGAAGAGGAAATATAAGAGAAATGGTCTTAAATAATTGAATAAAAGTACGAAAAAAGTATTCGCTGTACCACAGAAAATAGAAATAGCTGGAACGTGGTAGAGTTAAAAATATTTTTTGTCATGAAGAGTCGACCTGTCTTTTTTTCTTCTTTTTTTTTTAAGAATACCAGCAAGTCTACAAAATCATAATCAAAACCTCAAATTCAAGGTATACAAAAACCGAAACCAACAGACAAACTAACGAGCATCATATTGTACAAAGAAATTGAATATTTCTCAATGGGATCGCAATGACTTCCCCATAATTTTTTTCAACCTGCATCTTTGGACACCATGTGTTGCGAGTTTGGCCGTAAGTTCACGACTTCTTGCACGGAAATCGTGATACTGGGAAAGGCCCTTGGATATCAAATCAACTATGACATGAACGCACAATAGATTGTGAGTGCAGACTGCTGCTATCCAGAAGTGGAAAAGTTACTATAGGGAAATTTAAATCATCACGTTTATCATAATATCCAAGTTAACACACTTTTGTTTTGAGATCAAATTTATTATGAAAGCAAGTAATTGATCCTTTATTGTAAAATGTGTCACTTCAATAATTTTTTGTTTCTGAAGTAGCTTTATCTGTGCAATGGTAATTTCACATTTATAAAACGTCCACGCTTTCTCCACCAGTCATTTCCAGAGTTGAAATGACTTGAAAATGTTCAGCATTCAACAGTTTGGCTTAGCATATATGAATCAGATAACTCAAATTCTGTCCATAGTCCACACGTGACCCGATCTGACTAAACACTCCTGAACTTGTCCTCATTTGCCGCGCAATAGAGATTTTTAAAAGCACACCAATATATCATAGACAATATTCATTTCTCCGGACCGGAAGATGAGTATTATAGAACCGGAAGTACTTTTCTGAGCAATGCTATTTGTCAAATATTTTACGATATCACATAAAATGGCGTTGTCTACATTGGTTTGGCTAGTCAGTCTGACGGAAATCCAATTGATCAAGCGTGTGTATTGTTGAAACTGTATTCAATGGTATATATCATCTTTGAATTATCCTTACACACAGTCAGACCAGAAAGTAACACATGGTACTCGTCATAGCATTGGTGTCGTAACGATAGATAGTCTTTACTGTCACGTGATTTCTGGTTAATAATAAATAAAACTTGTTTGTACATACGATTATCTAAGACTGAAATATATCATTTGTGGAACTCAAATTTCGTGATTTTTTCGTTGGCACTTGATTTCTTTAATAAACAGTAATTACGAAATTCACTTGTACTGAAAATTAATTTCCTCCACATTTTTTATTTGTAGATTATTACTACCCCCGAAATCAATGAAAATAAAAAAGAATCTCTGAATATATTTTTCACAGAAATTCAGTTACATATTTCAAATAAATTAATTCTTTTTATCGCACTCTATCTCCAAATTCTCATCATATACTTCTGAGTATTTCTATATGCTGTATATATCCATCCGGTTTTAATTTATATTCGATGATACCCTGGTCGTCCATTAAAGTCTTTGAGTGATGACATCTCGGTTAATCACATCTTATAAACGCTGATAGTAGAACCAGTGAAACAACATCAAGCAAAAAGGAAAGGAAGCTACATTCCTTTATAGTTTTGCTGAGAAACTCTTGTCAACTTTTCCTTTTACGGGACTCAGATATGTGTGAAAGGAGTCCAGCACCTGCCAAACAATAAAAAATAATATATCGCTGAGATTGTACAAAAGCCACACAAGTGAATAATATCTTTTAATATAAATTTAGAATTGGATACAGAAAGGTCAAATAACCTGCCCGAAACTTTGATAGGTAGGAGAAGCTTACAGATGTGTAGAGTGATCAAAGGAAATGTCAAAATTGAGACACGGACTTACTTTTGAATTGATTACTGTTAAGATTTATTTAACGCGAAAAAATGCTGTAAATGTAATTATTTTCGAGGATAGAACAAAACCACGGAAATAGAAATTGGTATTTCGTTCCATATTTCCTCCGCAAAATACACCTCTTTGCGTCAAAGATGTGGCTCACTAGCGATAATTCAGCAGCGCGACCGGAATTGGAATACCTGGCCCCACTTGTATAAAACATCTCAACTTAAGATTTCCTCAAGTCGAGATTTTCCTCAGCTAATATCTCCTTGAAAATATCTTGTATGAAAATTCCTCAAGGAATTTCAGGACATTCTAACCGATGCCTTCCTCCTGTTCCTTGAGAAAATTTTATACAAGCCGTTTTTGAGGAGATATCAGCTCAGGAAAATCTCGACTTGAGGAAATCTCAAGTTGAGATGTTTTATACAAGTGGGGCCTGATCAGATGTGAAAAGTGATTTGGTCATCTGCTAGACAACACGGAGTTTCGTCCGAGTAATATATTTATTTCAATTTAAGAGCCTAATTGCTTACATCTTTCTTATTAAGTGGCGACGCTTTTGCATAATCATATAGCGCCTGGTACACGTCACCATCGTAACGTCCTAGGCAGGAGTCCAAAGCCTTGTCAGGGTAATCGAAGGCATCCACCAAGGCAACAGCGTTAGGTCGTATTTCGTCCAATAGGTACGTCAGCTTTCTGGTTACGGTGTCCACCTGCCCACTGCTCAAGAAGCCGTCCTGAAATACACAAACTCTGGCATGCAGCATTTTATAAATTCTGGAACATATCCTTACAATATGCTTTTGTCGATGTTAAAATATATTTCAAATTACATTTTTTTTCCCGGGAATTTTGTTTAAAGTTTCCTTATTTTAAAGTAATCTTCCTAAGCATTGACAAAAAAGTTTAGAACCAACACTTAAATTCATATAATATGAGTCCATGATTCGTGATAAACAACTAAACTAACTTGTAGTGTCTAATGCTACATAATTAAGCTTCTGTTGCTATTTGCAAATTGCCACCGACACCGGAAGTAGAACACAATCTAATCATCACATCGGGATTCCAATATTGTCAAACGAACAATCCACCTCTCTCGGGTACATTTCCAATCTTCGAGAAAGCAAACTCTAACTAGAGGAGTTTGGGACCAAAATGTTTACCTGGATAAAATCCCCAAGGTTCTCCAAAATGCCATTGACAGCGTACAACTTGCACACGGCGACCATCACCTTTCTTGTCTCGTCATCAAGGTTACTAGTAATTACCTTTGTGGAAAATGTTTTTACCACATATGCATGGCAATGTGCCTGTAAGAACACACATACGTATTTTGATAAGAGTTTATTGAAACAGATTGGAAAATCGTCATATACGTACATCGCTGTTCATTATGCTATTTCGTATCAGAAATAATAACTAATGACAATGTTTTATATATTGTACTTCTCATAACCTCCCGAAAAAGACACTTTTATGAAAAGCAAAGGGAGATAACATGGTTTTGTAAAACATGTAGCTTCTCGTAGTGATATTCACTGCCTATGACGATGTTGATATTTATAACATGTATGAAAAAAATTGTATTCTAATATTTCATCTATTTGATTTATTTCTATCTTACAAAAGCTGCAGAAAGGATTATCAAGAGTGTGTATGATGTTTTTGTTTTTTAATGTAAAACCGAGGTTTCTTATGTAAATGTTACATGATCACGATATAATGACACGGGGAAAACATCCGGCCAGGGATTATTTTCATCATTCCATAAAAAATATCTTATTATTTCTTTTCACCTAACTGACAAACTGGCGAAATAGACGAAACTTAAACTGCTGTTATTTCAGTTGTATTAAATCAATTTTAATATTAATCTTGTCAAACTGATACAGTTTATCTGCCACGTCAGATTGAACAATTAATTTATATCGATAAAACATATTGGATGGTGATATAGATAAGACACTTAAACGTTGAGGCGGTGTACTTTACTGAACTAAGTGAAATAAAGTTGAAAATAAAAGATGATATATATGAGAGACGGGGTGGGTATATAAGATTCAGAGTAGCGATATAGGGAATTAAACAGCACTATACATTGTTCATCTATCCTGAAAAATGCCACTAATGCTTATTTCAAAACGGAGGTGATCGTGAACACAGAAAAATAATCTTGATTAAAATCAGAGGACCATAGAGGAAAGAAAAACTACAAGTTTCATAACAATATTGGAAAGGAGTACTGCATGGTCGCCACTAATACTACTGGGAAATCACATACCATAGTTGCCCACACGAATTGCTGTGTGGTTTTGTTCCAAGCTTGCTGCTGTGATAATCCTTCCTTGACAAGACTTTGGATATTTGTAGCGGCTGCTTTCACCATTCTTGGATTAGAGAGAAAAGTGTGAGCTACATCATTTATGCACACTGCCTGACGTAAGAGACGCAACGTACCTTGTACGAGGTCTTGTTATCTCCCGCTTTCACCGAAATGGGGGATAATAATTTGAGTTCGTCCGTCCGTCCGTCCGTCTGTCACACTTTCGTTTCCGTGTTCTAACTTCCCCCAAATATCATCCAATTTGGGTTAAACTTGGTCAGCAAATACATCTTGGGGTCATTAAGACTGAGTTTGACTATCAGTGTCATCTGTTAATAATTATGCATACTAATGTGGTATCCTTTGATTTCATTGGTCGGTTCATTTCCGTGCTCCAACTTCCCTAAATATAATCCGATTTAGATGAAACTTGGTCAGCAGATATATATTAGGGCACATAAGACTGAGTTCAGCAATCAGCATCATCTGTTAATATCTATGCCTGCTTAGCACCATTATAGTTACTAGTATGCAAGTTTTCTTCAATTAGTTTACTTTATTGGTTAATATTTGATATGTCCAATAAAACATCTACTCTCTATAATCTTTACATCTTTCTTTGGCTTTAAAGCAATACATCATGGCTCAAGAGAATATATCATTCTACATAGCATTATGACATGTTTACTCCTAACCTCTAAAATATTTACATATAGCATGTTTGGAAAGCGGGGGATATAAATTCAATGAATTTGCTTGTTCCAGTTTCTTTTTGCAAGTCTCCGTAAAATAAGTAAGCATTTAAACTGTTTATATAGCAATTATGAAATATCAATTTGAAAATTTACCTCGCCGCACGATGTTCGTAGGCCAGGACAAGACTTTCAAGGGATACGTCCGATTTCAAGGTTGACTTGACGGTCAAGTCAGTTCCCAAGTAAGACACAAATCCAGGTAGTTTCTCTCCCATCTGGACTTTCGTGAAACATTTCAGTAGGTATCTATCAAATGATACGGACAATGAATGGGTTAAATCCACGTGTTGCCAGGTTTCTACCAAGCGGTATATTGGGTACAATGAGCGATTTCTTCACTCAGTTTCAAGTGACAAGATATAAAAATTACTGTGAGAATGATACTTATAACACCGGACATCAACACTAGCGTAATGAATACACTCTCAACACGAGATCCAAAATGAATAACTATTTTTTTGCAAATGATATCACCCAATCGTATTTTATTTAATTGTCTTTTGTATCACACATATATACATTAATTTTTGAGGAATGAAAAATGATGATGATGATGATGATGATGATGATGATGATGATGATGATAATGATGAACTTTCTTGTAACTATTTAAATGAATATAATTTGGTACGGAACTCTGTTAAAAATTACTGTAAACAATTTCCTTTCCAATACCATGAATGACACCGAAAACTACTATATACCTTGCCGTCTGTAGATACAGTACTGTGTTCTCTCCCTCGTATGTACTGTTTGGGATCGCATCCACGTAGATTTTCGGTATACCGCTGGCGTGAGAGTAGCCATGCCCCCCACATGCTAGTCGGCACACTTCTATACTGGTGCAACAGTTGGAACTGGAGAATGCTTTCAGACCGGCCGTCAGTCCGTGTAGCTGGACACGGGAAATCGGGAATATTACAAAATATTCTTCAATATACTAATTTATTAACAAGATATCTTGGCGCCCACCATCGTTATATCTCAAAAGCTCTTTGTCATTTAAATATTTTCCATTCTTTTATTTTTTTCTGGTCCATCTACAATCAAACAAGCAAAACTAGGGGCAATCAAGAATCTTCATATCGAAATTAAGAAACGCTCAAGCTAACTTTCAAAAATCTTTTCAAATATTCTTGCCAATTCAATGTTGCTTGTTAGTTTTTTTGTTTGTTTTTTTTCTCGGTCAATCCAAAATTTACCAAGAAAAACATGGCCGCCTGTCGGCCATTTTTTTCCGATCAGTCCCATAACTGAATCCGTACGAAGTGCACAACGAGGAGCAGCAAACTGAACTTCCCACAATCTGGTGATGGTGGCTGAAAACTGTTGCGCAAAATATTATTTACTTTGTGTAGTATTCAGGATTTCCCAGAGAAAGAATTTGTAAGCCTTAGTTTGGCTTGATTGAGTTCATCTTTGGGCTTAAGAGTAAGAGCATAAACAACGTACCTAGCCAAATATTTCGGGTTCGTCCTATATGAGGACCAAAAAATATCTCAGCCTTGCTAAACAAGCTTTGCCGTTGACGGCTTCCTTCCTGTAGGAAGGGGATATGTCATCCTCGGAAATCACTAGAGGGTTCCCGTCTTCTTAGATAGGACATTTTTCTTTAGCACATAAGGTAGCGTGTAAGTCTGAGATATTAAGACTCCCTCAAACATGCATTGGTGTAAACATCGAAAAGCTTGAGGAAGGAGTCTTTCTTTTGGGAGAAGAGTCTTTCTGGTAAATAAGAAACTCACCCTAGAATGTTGGTCTGATGTTCTACGGATCTAGGGTTCGAGTTTCAGCGATTTTCACATGATGCACCCTTCAAAGCACGCCAAAAATCACGTGAACACTTTCCGTGATGTAAACACCACACAAGATGTAAGACTGAGAACACCACCAACATAAAATAACACACTTTCAGCATGAATCATGTACTGGAGATTCTACATACATTGCCTTGTTAATAAACAAAACTCCTGTAGACGTATAATAGTGTTAACTCCTCATCATAACCATGTCCAGTAGATTGATCAAGAGCATTGTTACTACAAAATCACTCGGTGAAAATCACCCCATTGGAGTATTTAAACATTACATTTTCCTCAGCACGTGAAATCAACGAAAATGATTGATGTTACAGCATTGGACAATACTTACGTCACCAATCTGGTCGAGTTTGCCTTGTTCCACGTTACTGTTAATTCTGTTGTAGATCCTATATATTTCTGATCCCGTGAAGTAGAACGCGTACGCCATGGCGACCGCGGGAAATAACTTGTGTTGTTGTGTTTGGTAGTCAATAATCTGTGCCTCTGGTCCTCTGTTAAAAGGACAAAAACTTACACTGATGTACAAGTCAATGAAAAAAAAACTTTGTTTAAAAATAACCTAAACTAATCACTCTTGTAGAACCGTTGGAAGCGTAAGGTTAAAGGTCGCGCGTTAAAGATCCCACGTGGTCGGGCAGCTGACCCCTAACCTTCTCACGTCCGTTCGGGTGATAGAACCCCGGATGTCTAGATGAAAAGCGAGTGGGTACCACTGAGTCAGTAAAATATCAAAGTGACTCATATATTAAGATACTAGTGCAATTAAAAAATCATGCGTTGCCACACTTATCCTGATAGCTATTGAAGTTGTAACTTAAATTATCTTCAATGGGTGGGATCGGAGAATGAGGAATCTTACCCGGGGGATACTTCTGTCTGTCTCCGGACAGCGCTATATCTGACTGCGATGACGCATGCCTGAGCGAGACAACGGGATACATTAGCCACTATTCTCACTCGGATGAGTGTCATTGTTCCATACGATATCTTGGCGTTTGGCGGTTTCACGTATGTCCCATCCTCAAGCACCTAGGTAGGGAAATATCACTTAAAAATAGGTAGCTGGTCAACAAATATATGATATATATTTTGTGGTGATAAGTGTTTCACAATTAGCTGTTAACAAGCATATATGCTTATTATCAATCCAAATACTTGTTACAAATGAAAGCTGGTGCAAATTTCAGTCAAACATTCCATGATTGTTTCAGAACAAAATTAAATATATATCTGTACAATTATCTTTTATATTTTGATATTTCTGATTTTTTCATCGTTTAATAAATTTCTCCGAAAGTACTGTGATGACACATTGTATAAGAAAATTGGTCAATGTCAGAGATGCTTGGTTCGAGACTTGCAACCCACTCTCAGAAACGGACCGGTCAGTATTGAAGTAATTGCGTTTAAATTCTTGAACAAGACACTCAACTCTGACTGGTATGGATAACATGCAACGGACCTCTCGTATGCTGTTCAGTGAGTGGCTACTACTAGGACAACAAGGCGATAAACTCAGCTCTCCACTGATTTTTGATAACTCTCATATGATACTATCTTCAGTTTGGAAGATTGTAAAAAAATATGTGAATATCACCATTCAATACCAAAATGAGAATTGGATATACTAGTCAAGAGCCAAATTCTGAATTATACTGTATACTACAGCTGTTTCAATACCAAACAAAACAAGGGGTCAAATGTTTGCAAAAGTACCGACATGTCAACAGAATCTGAATTCAAACTCAGATTCGTTGAAACTTGGGTAAAATATGAACAAAAGATATATTTATACGGCCTCTGAAAACGTAAACGATAAAAATACCTCGTGTTCCGGAAGGGTTGTAAATCTTGGTCAATTCAAGAAGGTAATGTCATGTTCCCAAATAACATAAACAGAACCAGCAAACATACTAACGAGCTTCATTGATGTCTGTTGGAATATTTCGCTCTATAGGTGTAAATCACATGTAGCATCTACCTTGGAGTATCTCATCAGCATGTTTTCCCTTGGTATCCTGACATTGTTGAGGATGAGATATCCGTTATCATTAGAACCATACCCAAACTTTGGACCAATATCACCAAGTTCGACTCCTGTATAAAGATAAAAAAAATGACAGACATTTTAGAAAGTTCTGTCCTCTATACAACAAGGACACTCGTTAGAATGAAATATAGATTCAGTGTAAGCATTTTAGTATTATATGAGGTAATTTGGTACAGATAAGAAACCATACAGATGCTACGCTGTTTATACTCAACTCTTGTATTTGGTATTAATCAGTCGTTAGAACCGACGAGTGTTGACCTAGAATCAATTAATGTTTCTATATTTTTTCTTATATAGGAATATTTTTTCTATTTTCCCTCGAGTAAATAAAAATCACACGACTACTATTGTGCTCTTTTATATTGATTGAAATAGTACATTATTTTTTAGTAAAACTTGTAAAAACACTTACTATAAACTAATTATTTTAATTAAAATTGTACACTTTGCATTTTAACAAAAAAAAATGTAAAAGAATATCTTATACACATCTGTCTCATTTTTTCACGGACAAAATTCTCGCGATGATTTAATGTACCGCGAAAATACTATCTTCGCGAAAATACTGACTGTACATTTTTTTAACCTGGATTTAACAGATTGTCACATGATGTGCTCGGCAAGGCGTTCATCCTGATCATGTGACTATGCCTCCGTTATTTCCCTCAGTGTCCTGTTGCCTGATTTTCGTTCAGCTGTCATTTCGATGGATGTTGAATGTTGTCGTCAATGGCATCTGCTTTTGTCGTTGTAGATATATCTAGGTTTTCATTGTCATCTATCACATATATACAAATAGATAAGAATTTTTACACTTCAAGATGTCTTACCTGGTAAGCTCTGGTGCGTGTTAAGATCCCGGAGAGGTACCAAAAACGTATGCATTCCATAACATTTGCCGCTTGTATAAAGCTGTGCCATTAGGATGCAGAAGTTGACGGTTTTACCCACTAAAATTAATGGCAATGCCTAATAATTTAATCCTGTATGAATCAAGCATTTTCATTGGCCAATTTATTTACGTTATCACTCACAACATTAAAAATCGAAGTCAGTTTGTAACAACACATAGGACTGACTAAGGCTGTGGTGTAAGACAATACCAAAGAAAAGAATCAAATATGAATATAAAAAAAAAAACATTGCAACTGAATTATTGTATTACATACACAGCTAAGCGGTTTATATAATGTACACTTCGTTTTTACGTTCCCCGAAGGCAGAGCATACAGTCACCGCTTCGTCCGTCCGTCTCGCCGTCCTTATTATTTCCGGAGCATATCACAAAAATAGGAGTGTATCATCATAAAACTTCATAGGTAGATAGATCTCGACAAGAAGTGAAGTGTACAAGAACCATAACTCTCTTTTGCATAATGTAGTTACTGTCCTATGATACTTTTTTGCTACTTCAATTTTGTCAAAATCCGGGGAGTGACCATCAGTTCTACCGATTATCTCGTTCGTTCTATGTTTCAATAACATTAAACAATAACTAAAGTTAAAATATCATTTTAAATCGGTCTTCATTTTGTTTTAAGATAAAAGTTAGTTTATATATACATGAAGTTCTTTTGAAGTTATCATTTAAATAAAAATTACGAATTACGGGGCTGGGGAATTTTGACATTTTGAATCTTTTCTCCATCCTTGACAATAGTACCTTTCGCCATATTGTCATCGGAATTGATTACCATTTCTGATCTATTCTACTCATACAATATATTTCAAATGATTTTGTCGTGTCATGATAATGTTTTTGAACAAAGCAATAACTAAAGTGTTTGAATACTATTTTTGATTATTGTCAATTGACTCGCATGATAGATGTAATATTATACGTACAGTGGCCTGGCCAATACTTCATCGACGTCAGAGTTGGAGACTGAAGAACAAACTCTCGCGACTTGGGGTCATAGGTCGCAGTTGTTTCTAATCCCCGGATGAAAGTCCCTAGATATCAACATAACAATGAAAATTATTTTACATTTTCCCCTATCCATTGTTTGGAAATATTTTGTGTTTTCAAAATATGTAATTTAGGCACTGTTCAGGAATTTCGTCTTTACACTACGATAATAATTTTTTCATAATTTTACTGATTATCATGGATTCCATGATCGCATGTTAGCTGGTGCGTAAATATACCCAGGATGTGCTGGTGTGGAATATTAAGACTTGTTCGTTCAGAAATTTGAGCTAATCTTTGTACTTGTTTGGTGTGTTTATGTCTCTTAGACAGAAAATAATATTTAATTGAAATACGTTGTAAATCATTTTCGTTTCGCTGCGATTATCCCTCAGCAAATTTCGCAATCAAAACAATTTTTTAAATATTAGGAAAGACTACAAATTTCATAACTTCCTGAATCATTACATCGCCAGTTAGTATGCCTGGTGATTCCGTTGTTGTTTACTTTTTTCTCGTTTGGGAACATGACATAGCGGGCGTCGTCGGAAAAGCAGAATTACCCTTCCGGAACACCTGGTCTGTTTCTCCATGTAATTTTTTTTGAGTTTCCAGTTCATCTTTCTCTTGTTTATTTTGCCCCAGTTTTATCGACTTCGAGTTTGAACTTTAAACTTTGAACTTGCCGTGGCACAAAAATCGCGGAAGTTGGTTTCCGCAAAAGGAGGAGGGTTAATGTTTACTCGTCGTTTCAAAACACAACGACAAATTTCTGTCTATACGTACGTACCGAGGCAAAGTTCTGTCTGTGCGTTCGTACCATGACCAAGTTCTGTCTGTGTGTACGTTCCAGAGCAAAATCATGGTTATGTTTGCAAACTATGACCAATTTCTGTCTGTGTGTACATACCAAGACTAAGTTCTGTCTGTGCGTACGTACCATGGCCAAGTTCTGTCTGTGCGTATGTCCCAATAATCTCCAGTTTTTCGGCAAGAGGAAGATATCGCCTTTTCTGGTCCTCTGTGCCCTGTTTCCGGAGGGTAGGTAGGAACATACTGGAATGTACTCCTATAGGACTGTTTTCGTGGTTAGCACCAGTTCTACATCACAGAAGAAAAACAAAACCTAGTTCCACCATTCATCTGTGGAAATTTCACTTCGGAAACGTCGTGAAATGGAAAGCTTTGTAGATACTTAACTTTAAGTCTGAATGAAAAATTTATCTACGTTAAATTTTTTTTTCGTTTCCCCCAACGAAAGGATTCGATAAAGAAGACTGATTCTGTACAGTTCTCAAACACAAATCTATATTATTTTACAGATATATACCTCTTTCAGTTTAGACCAATAATTAAACCCAACGTTCTTAACCCAAGCTTTTCTGTTTCCCAGTTGAAAGTAAACACGATAGAGGTTGAAAAAAGGAAAGGATACAAACTCTGTGTAATAGAACATATCCCGTTCTTCTGTTAGTTTCATCTCCTCAATACGCTTCGCCATGTGTAAGTGTTTCCTCAGCGCTGTTTCATATTGTTCCTCTCTAGACATACACGCCCAGGCTTTGTTGTTCTCCAGTACCGGATCATTGATGGCCACGTCCTCTGCAACACAGAGAAATATCGCTATAGGGAACCATTAGACAATATGTCATTTTACGACAAGGCCAATGAAAAAAAAAAAAAAAACATCGCACCGAAATAAATTTATTTACAATGCAAGTGTATATGACTAGACCAATGGCGATGTAAATTAAGGCAGGTGAACTGAAAAGACCGTTAGACCATTCTCGAGGTAAATATCGGCGGATGGAATAATTTCAGATTTATTTACGACGATAAGAAAATCCTACAGATGTAAAATGTAAGATTGATATGAAACGTACTAACAAGTAAACGTAAATACAGTCGGATGGAATAAATTAAGTAAAAAAAAATACCTAGATTAAAGGAAGCAAAACTATTACTAGTAACTAGTAAATATACATGACGATATTTTTGTTCTCTCAATTGACATCACCCACCAAGGAAATTTGCGTTGCTTGTCTGTATTATCATATTTGCTTCCGAAACCTCTGAGGCATTTTGATTCGGCAAAATGTTCAAAACAGATTTAACTTCAGATAAGTATTTGTGATTTGAACTGACTATGCGAATAACACTATCGTGAAAAGTACACCGGGTTGTGTAATAACTAAACCTAGTCGATATAAGGGAGTATGACCCTTCATAAATTACCTTTGTAACACTGTTGGATTCACGTGCAGATTACGGACTGTTTATTCTTCTGTTTTTGTTGTTGTATTTTTATGTTTTTGTCGGATTAAGATTTGACAAGCGGGTTATAAAATTATTGCGTATCTGACTGCGTATGTATTAAGATATGAGATTTGGTAACCGAGATTTTCTGTCTTATGTCCATCTGTAGAATATATACAGTCTTTCTTATTGGAATAAATATGGGAACCTAATGCATATACACAGTAGTCTATCTATTATCAAAAGCCTTAGTTTTTGACCCCGTTAAGTTTAATACAAGTCCGTGTTGTATGAATGTTTGATTTGAAAAATAAACAATTAACACTTACGCAGATATCGCCTCCTTTCGGTCGCTGCAACCCCTCCATAGATAAAGTTTGTCAACGTTTCGACGTCGAAGTTGGCATTTTTCCTTTCTTTTGCCAGGTCGGCGTTCACTGTTACTCTCCCTCTCGCCGCCATGTTGGATGGACTGTACAGAGATAAAGTTTAGGGGCCGTCTCAAACTGTTTTATAGTCCAAATGATTTTATCTATCACGTCTGTCGGCTTGCAAATCCGCACGTATCGCTATCATTATCAATGTTTGCTTAATAAAATTTTACATGAAGCGGATTTTTTTTCGAGTTCGGCATTTGAGATGCAATAATGTTACAGTGGCATGTCTGTAGCTGATAGTTCAGTAATATATCTGTCCTTATATGGTATTTGAATCAACACATGACGATATTAAAGTTTACAAACTTATCAATATATATTTCACCTTTTAACATATCGTGAGGTCATACAAGTATTCACGCGTGCTATATATTGACCTATTGAAATACTTTAAAGGTGATTTTGTTTCAAGCAGGTTTTATGTTTCTCAAACATCCTTCTCTTTATGTTGAAATCTTACATAGATAATTGTAGTATACAGACTGTGCTAAAATATAGTGTGTACGGGGTAAGGGTATGTTCCTTTCACCGTATGTCTGGTTTATTGCTATGTATATATCATAGTCTGTCTACATTACTGGTATGTTGATATCATAGTCTGTGTGGGTTACTGGTATGTTTATATCATAGTCTGTCTGGGTTACTGGTATGTTTATATCATAGTCTGTCTGGGTTACTGGTATGTTTATATCATAGTCTGTCTGGGTTACTGGTATGTTTATATCATAGTCTGTGTGGGTTACTGGTATGTTTATATCATAGTCTGTCTGGGTTACTGGTATGTTGATATTATAGTATGTGTGGGTTATTGCTATGTATATATCATAGTCTGTCTACATTACTGGTATGTTGATATCATAGTCTGTGTGGGTTACTGGTATGTTTATATCATAATCTGTCTGGGTTTCTGGTATGTTTAAATCATAGTCTGTTTGGGTTAATGGTTTGTTGATATCATAGTCTGTCTGGGTTACTGGTATGTTTATATCACATTTTTTTTTCAAATTCGGCATTAGAGAGGCAATAATGTTACAGTGTCACGTCTGTAGCTGATAGTTCAGTAATAAGACTGTTCTTATTACGTAGTAACTCTCGGTGTATTTGAATCAACACATGACGATATTAAAGTTTACAAACTTATCAATATGTATTTCACCTTTTAACATATCGTGGGGTCATACAAGTATTCACGCGTGCTGTATATTGACCCATTGAAATAATTATGAAGGTGATTTTGTTTAAAGCAGGTTTTGTTTCTTAAACATCCTTCTCTTTATGTTGAAATCTTACATAGATAATTGTAGCATACAAACTGTGCTAAAATATCGTGTGTCCAGAGTATGAGCATGTTCCAATCACCGTATGTCTGGGTTATTACAATGTATATATCATAGTTTGTCTACATTACCGGTATGTTGATATCATAGTCTGTGTGGGTTACTGGTATGTTTATATCATAGTCTGTCTGGGTTACTGGTATGTTTTATATCATAGTCTGTCTGGGTTACTGGTATGTTTATATCATAGTCTGTCTGGGTTACTGGTATGTTTATATCATAGAGTGTCTGGGTTACTGGTATGTTTATGTCATAGTCTGTCTAGGTTACTGGTATGTTTATATCATGTCTGTCTAGGTTACTGGTATGTTTATATCATTGTCGATCTGGGTTACTGGTATGTTTATATCATTGTCGATCTGGGTTACTGGTATGTTTATGTCATAGTGTTTCTGGGTTACTGGTATGTTTATATCATAGTTTATCTGGGTTACTGCTATGTTTATATCATAGTCTGTCTGAGTTACTAGTATGTTTATATCATAGTCTGTCTGGGTTACTGGTATGTTTATATCATAGTCTGTCTGGGTTACTGGTATGTTTATATCATAGTTTATCTGCGTTACTGGTATGTTTATATCAAAGTCTGTCTGGGTTACTGGTATGCTTATGTCATAGTCTGTCTGGGTTACTGGTATGTTTATATCATAGAGTGTCTGGGTTACTGGTATGTTTATATCATAGTTTATCTGGGTTACTGGTATGTTTTATATCTTAGACTTTCTGGGTTACTGGTATGTTTTATATCTTAGACTTTCTGGGTTACTGGTATGCTTATTTCATTGTTTTTCAGGGTTACTGGTATGTATATATCATAGTCTGTGTGGGTTACTGGTATGTTTATATCAGAGTCTGTCTTGGTTACTGATATGTTTATATCATAGTCTGTCTGGGTTACTGGTATGTTTTATATCATGTCTGTCTGGGTTACTGGTATGTTGATATCATAGTCTGTGTGGGTTACTGGTATGTTTATATCATGTCTGTCTTGGTTACTGGTATGTTTATATCATAGTCTAGGTTTTTGGTATGTTTATATTATAGTTTATCTGCGTTACTGGTATGTTTTATATCATAGCCTGGGTTACTGGTATGTTTATATCATAGTGTGTCTGGGTAACTGGTATGTTTATATCATAGTGTGTCTGGGTTACTGGTATGTTTTATATCATGTCTGTCTGGGTTACTGGTATGTTTATATCATAGTTTATCTGCGTTACTGGTATGTTTTATATCATCGTCTGGGTTACTGGTATGTTTATATCATAGTGTGTCTGGGTGACTGGTATGTTTATATCATAGAGTGTCTGGGTTACTGGTATGCTTATTTCATTGTTTGTCAGGGTTACTGGTATGTTTATATCATGTCTGTCTGGGTTACTGGTATGTTAATAACATAGTCTGTCTGGGTTACTGAAATGTTTTATATCATGTCTGTCTGGGTTACTGGTATGTTTACATCACAGTTTGACTGGGTTACTGGTATGTTGATATCATAGTCTGTCTGGGTTACTGGTATGTTTATATCATAGTCTGTATGTGTTACTGGTATGTTAATATCATAGTTTGTCTGGGTTAGTGGTATGCTAATTTATTAATAACACGCGGAGGTGGTGGCAACTTATGCTTAAATTTGATTACACACTCTAAAAACAAGACGGATTCCGGATGAAGATTCCGGATTTTTTTTTTATAGTAAATATTTGTTTTGTTTTATTTTACTTCACTTGGAGTTGACCTCTTGAATATGACGACTAGAGTTATCTTTCTTTGACAAAAGAAACGCCTTGAGTGATAGTACTCAGTAGCTGGGAATGTTTTTATGGAAACACTTTCTATCAAAGAGGTAAAACTAATTCATTACCATATTTACATACTAAACAGGTGTGGTGGAAAAGACTTTTAAAATCCCGAAAATCTAGCATGATGAAACTTTAAGTGTCGCCTACAATGCACGACCAAATGGACCCGACAACAAGCATGATGGAAATCTCGTGAATTGTAATGTAAATGTCGAGATTTGTGATGCAAATCGTGTGATTATAATGTCTTGTGATTATTAAACTGATTACGTTGTAGCAAAATTGTCACTTCAATTGTTACTCTTAAGATATCTATATTTTCAATCACATGAATTGTGATATACAATGTAACATGTTCTGAAAGTAAAGATAATCCAACCTCTACCCTGTTATTTAAATGTTAACTGTAATGTTCACCATTAGATTTAAAACTCATTCTAACCTAACTGGAATTGTTTAATTGACAAGAAACATTCTGAATAAAAAACAGATGATCAAGTCTAAGAACAACCTTGACTATCATAAAATAGTTTTGCAAACAAAAACAAAAAACAAAACAAAAAAAATAAAAATGTTCACATGTCTAAGCTGAAGAAGGTAGGTTAAGACCATACAGACGGCAAATAACAATGGCAGTCTTATAATATTTTACAGTGTAAATCTAACGACACAATATATGTTTTCATTTTTTTTTAAATATTCAATGTTTTTTCTTTTGATTTTTCGCGATAGTTAGTCTTGGAATGCTATTTATATCAGCACTGATCGTGGAAGAATAGGATATGACGACTGATACCTGATCTTGATATACCACGTGCATTTTGGTGTTTACGGTTCCATAACGTCATAATATAAAGAACGTAATGACGTGCATACTTGGGACTTAATCTACCTCAAACGTCGTGTTTTTGTTTAATCTAACGGACACCTTCCCATGGGAAATTATCAAGCACCTCTTCCAGTTAAAAAGTAAAACAAAAACAAAAAACAAAAAGTGACGCCATTTTGTTTGTTGAAGTAATGTAAAACTTACCAAAATAGGAATGATTGTTTCTCAAACAGAATTGGATTTTAAACTGTTGACAGTTCCATAATTACCCTTTCCAATGTCTCCATACCAAGGTTTACCAATGTTTAACTACCCAGTCTGAAATATTTTCTGTAAATTAAAGACTTTGGTATTCGTAATATGTTTTTGCCTTAGTATCACGATGTTCCTAGTATTTGAGTACGTTAATGACGCAATTTTGTTACTTTTACTTTGATTTCATTGTTAGACTTGCAGACCAATATTTTATTGTTACCTTTCTAAATCAATCGACTTTCCATATCTTAATCTGGTTGTTTAGTTTCTTTGTAACTATGGTTCTTAGACGGTAATCTTTCAGTGTTGTCGTTTGCCGATCTTGGATGGTTTTCTTCCCCTCCATGAAGAAATGGTAATTAAAGCACCTTAAGACGTTTCCATCCAAAAATGAGCATATAATTTTACCATACCTAGTAGTTGAGAAGAATAATTATGAAATTCAAGTCAGTTTGACCCCATTTGTCCCTGCCTAGCAGTCCCAGGAGTCAGCCAGGATAAATCTGTTCATACAATCTCGCCGTCATCCTTCATTCATAATTCTAACCAAGTTTGAAATATTTTCAATGGAAATTAAAAAAAAACCAATTATACTAAAAAATCTATTTTTCCTATATAAACTATAGTTAGATTTACCCCCTCTTCACAGGGAAATGTGATACCATGGGGTCATGAAATTCACAATTTTGGTAAACCATCTTAAGACGCTTCTATCTATAAAAAACATTTAATTCTATCATATCTGGGTTTTGAGAAGAATATTTTTGAAATCTGAGTCAATTTGACCCCTTTTGGCCCTGCC